TTGGTTTCTTCTATTGGCTTTTAGGAACCTCTGTTAAAGAAAATGTCTACTGTATGCTTAGAGAATAGAGCACCCATAAGAAATTTCTACATAAAGTTTTCAGTTTTTGTTGACACTAGAGTCAGCTTGCTTATTGCTCTGATACAATATACCAGACATTCTGCTTTTCTTCCCCCCCCCCCCAGACGGGGTTTCTCTGTGTAGACCTAGCTGTCCGGGAATTAGCGCTTTCGGACCAGGCTGGCCTTGAACTCACAGAGGTCCACCTGCCTCCCGAGTGTTGGCATTAAAGGCATGCATCACCATCACCTTTTTATTTATTCTTGTGTCTTTCACATCATGTATTTGATCCAATTCATTTCTTGTCCCTTTGTAACCACCCTCTGCCCTTGCAACCTTCCCTCCAAAAATAAAATTTAAGAGGACAAAAGAAAAATCTCATTGTTGAAGCTATAATGTGACATAGTGAGTTATGCAGTAAACCCTTTTATCCACATGTCTTTACCTGCAAGTGTTCTTTGTAAAGAATCATTGATCTGGTTCAGGGCCTTTGGTTTCTGCTACACTATCAATGCTGGGCCCTCACTGGAACTCCTCTTGCATATCTTGTTGTTGCCCTGTGTGTAGAGATCCTGTAACTTTGGATCTAGAGGACCTGCCCCTTCACAGGTCTGCTCCAGCAGACCATAGATGGAGTGGATGGCTGTTGGGGTAGGCCAACTCACAACCCTTGTTCTGGGCCTGGATAGTTAGTTGCAGGGTTGATCAGCCCACCAGCTTTCTCCTCTGTCTTCACCACAGCTATCCTGCTTAACCTTGTAGCTGAAAGTCTTTTGTTCCTACAAGTCACCATGCCATACAGGCAGTATGATGGCTCTTTTGAGGAAACAGAGAACTGCAGTTCAAAGTCATGACTCCTATGCTGAGCTCTATTCACACTTGTTTCTGTTTGGCTTAAAAAAACAAAACATGGGCAGGCTGGAAAGTTGCTCAGCAGTTTAGATAGAGCCCTTGTTGGTTTTGCAGATGATGCAGGTTTGATTCTCAGAACTCCAAGATAGCTCAGAATCTTTTACAAATCCAGTTCCAGGGGATCCAAAACTGTCTTTTGAAATGAGGTATGACATTCATACATGTTTAAAAAAAAACAAAGAAAAAACATATCTAGATTCTTTTATTTAGGTTAATTTCACATGTATGAATGTATCATGTGGGTGCTTGGTGCTAGAGGCAGTCAGAAGAGGGCATTGGATCCCATGGAGCAGTTGTGAGCCACCATATGGGTGTCAGGAACTGAGCTCTGGTCCTCTGCAAGATCAACAAGTGCGGTTAGCCAGAGTCATCTCTCCAGACCAGAACACCCTAAAAATTGCCAGCGGGGTAGTGGTGGCACATGCCTTTAATCCCAACACTTAGGAGGCAGGGGCAGGCAGATCTCTGTGAGTTTGAGGCTAGCCTGGTCTACAGAGCCAGTGCCAGGACAGAGAAACCCTGTCTTGAAAAAAAATTAAATTGAACCTCTGCTTTCAATATTTATGCTATAGTTTTTCTTCTTTAATAAATTTCTGGAGTCTTGTCAAATGCTTGCGTTTCTGGGAGATGATACCCTTTTTTCTTGGAGCCCTAGCTTTTTGGGGGTTTTCAGATGACTTGCTCATTGAATTTCCTAAGTATCTTTACAAGCAGGAACAGGAGGTCTCCACAGCTTACAGCAGTTCATTCATGTAGGTTACTGTGAATTCAGAATTGTGTCTGTGTTGTCTTCTTCAAGTGCTAAAGTTGCATTTTTAAGATTGTGTGTGTGGGGCCGGGCGTTGGTGGCGCACACCTTTAATCCCAGCACTCGGGAGGCAGAGGCAGGTGGATCTCTGTGAGTTTGAGGCCAGCCTGGTCTCCAGAGCGAGTGCCAGGATAGGCTCCAAAGCTACACAGAGAAACCCTGCAGTTTTGTAAGGTGGGGGGGGGGGGGGGAGATTGTGTGTGGGTATGTGCATGTGTGCCATGGGTGCACACATACCATGGCATGCATGTGAAAGTCAGCAGACAGCTTGTAGGAATCAGTTCTCTTTTCACCTATGTGTTCCAGGGATCAAACTCCAGTTGTCAAGACTTGGCAGTAGGCATGTTTAACTGCTGAGCCATCTCAACAGCCTCCCTCCAGGGTGCATATTAAAGCAGGCCCAAGGGAGAGCCACTACTTAGCCTTAGGCCATTTTTAGCCATTGGTAGAGTACTGTAGATTGGTTTAGAAGAAGAAAATTTTACTGTCTCTGGGCTCCTGGCTCTCTGCCTGTCCATCTTTATTGGCTTCCCTGAATGGCTCCTCTCCAGTGAAGATGGAGCAGGAAGGTAGCTAAAGAAGTACTTTTGCAGATGATCCAGGGTACTTTTATGTTGTCTTCTTGGGGAGCAACTAGAATTTGCTAACTCATTCTCATATTTAGTGTTCAGGAAGTATCTAGTATTAACAAATAAACACTCAAAAGTAAATTTGTAGAGCTATGATCCAGTATTTACATAGCAGTAGGTCACTGATATTGATTGAGCACTTACTGTATGCCAGGCACCAGAGCCTGGTGCACTTAGCAGTGAGCGGGCTGTCAAGATCAGGTTCCAGCTAAATGGCTTCACTTCCACCCCAGACGGAGTCCCACCCTTCTTAAGTTTTTGTCTACCCTGTCCTTTTTGGTCCCACTGCTCTGCAGATCTTATCTGGACCTGAATTTCTTTATATGGAGACAGGTTGCTGGCCAAGTAGTTGGAGGGTTTTTTTTTTCCCCCTGGTGTCCTCTGAGCCTACACATCCACCTAGAAATGCTACCTATGTGTAGCATACCTCCCTGGCCAGTATTTGTCTTGATGGCAGTACTTAAGCTTCAGGGTACCAAAGCAGTACAGAAATTCCTACAAAAAGTCCCATTAGTCCTTAAGCCCTAACATTGAGATGCTGTGTAGTGCCCTTTCAAAGCATAGGTCCTTTCAAAAATTAGGGGAGTCAGTGTATCCATTCGTCCTTCATGGAGAGAGGACCCATTGCAGATGAGCTATAACTAATTGATGAGTAGACTCAAGAACAGCTTGCACTAACCAGTCTCCAGTCACATATTCTTCAGTCACACATAACAATTTCAGTCAGTCTCATAGTCTGAAATTGTTACTTCCATGGCTTTGTGAATTAGGCTGCTTTGGATAGCCCAGAGCCTGTGTTTAAATAAGACCCCCCGCCCCAAGATACTCATTTCTCTTCGTCTGCTAAATGTAGCTGCTTTAAAATATCTTCTCAGACTGTCGAGACTTTGTGGGATGAGGTCATGTTCAGATCAATGCTGCCGCAGTGCTTTTTGATTAATGTGAGGTAACCGGCACAGCCTTCTCCTCAGCCCCATGGTGGAGCAGGATAAAATTAATCTGAAATGCATACATAATGCATGAATTCTTGGGGGAGGGGAGAAAGGGGGCAGAAAGGTGGGGGCTGCCTAGAGTAGTCCAGACAGAGGAGAACAGGGTGTGCAAAGGCCCTGTTCCGCAGGGTGTGGCAGATAAAAGAGGGACAAAGAATCCTGTGGTGATGAGCACAAGAGCATACTGGGGACAAGGCTGGGGAAGTGGCAACCTGGCCAGATGAGTGCAAGCATTAGAGGCTTGCCATGAAAATGTAGGCTAGATGAATGTGTGCAGAGGAGTGCTGTTAACAGGGTATAGTTTGGAAAGGGGACTATCTGGACCTGGCCGTGAGTCTCCCCCTCACAGACACACCCAAACGGTGTCTGGCAGCTCATGGCGGAGCAGAACCCTACTTTTGACCCAGGACACCTTGTGCTGAGTCAGTCCTGAGAGGCTGTGGGACAGAGAGGGTGAGTGTGAGTCTGGCCCTTGGCCATTCCTGCTGGTATCCAGGGCATGATGCATATTGAGGGTGGGTTTCCTGTTTGTTTTTGTAATACCATTGTTTTTGTTTGTTTCTTTTGGTTTTTTGTTTTTCAAGACAGGGTTTCTCTGTGTAGCTTTCGAGGCTGTCCTGGTACTCACTCTGTAGACCAGGCTGGCTTGGAACTCACAGAGATCCACCTGCCTCTGTCTCCCAAGTGCTGGGATTAAAGGTATGTACCACCACCACCAGGCTCCTGTTACTTTTCTGAAGCAACCTTGATTTGCAAAGGAGCTGGTGAGGCCCAGAAGACTGGGCCTTTGCCCACCTTCTTGCTTTAAAAGCAGGATTGGTTTGTGATTGTCTGGGAAATGGACAGAAAACCCGGAGGCTAGAGACCCATGTCTGCTCAGAACAGACACAGTACCCAGCCTCCACCTTGTAGGAGAACTGTCATCCACTCTCCTCTGGAGCTAAATTGCATCAGGTTTGCTTTGTTTGTGCACTTTGTCAGAGGTTGGTTGTGTATGCTATGGGAAGCATTTGCTTTCCTGTGTAAATCTACATCTGCCAGCCTTGAAGGTGATTGTTGCAGACCCAGAGGCTGAGGGGAACTGCCAGGTTCAGGTACATTTTCTTGGTTGACCTGTTTCAGTGATGACATCCCTCTGTTCTGCAAAGAGGACTGCCAGAGCAGATGACAGAGTGCTGGTGCAGCAGTGCTCCATCAGGAAGAACGTATTGCCGTGGAGCTAGGAGGCAACCAGCACCTGGGAGTCAGAATGGGAATTGGGCTGTAGTGGCATTTTGTTCTGCCAATAGATTTGAGGTACCGGCCTTAGGGTGTGGCTTGGGGGGGGCATGATCCCTTATAAGGAAGAGGGGTGGCTTCAAACTCATGATCCTCCTCTTCCTTATAAGGGATCATGTCTGTCCACACACCTAAGCTACACCCTAAGGCTGGTACCTCAAATCTGTTGGCGGAAGATGCCACTACATTGGGCTTGGTCATTTATTTGTCATAATGATGGGAAGAATGGTTGCAATCAGGGTCCTTCATCACCAAGGCCTCCATTAGTGCCAAGTTATCCCTAGAAATGGTGGTGCAGTTCCCTGGGAGCTACTGCAGCTGAGTCTCTGTAACCCTCTACAGAACGAACAGTGATGGGTCTGCTGAACACAGAGAGTACGGTTGTGAACTGATGGTGTTCTGTGGTGCCAGTGAAGTAACTGCAGCAAGTGTCTGAGTGTCTCACCATTCCAGTTGGTCAAGGTAACCTTGTTAAAGGACACCTGTTCCTACTGCTAGAGCTGTCTGGAGAGAAAGACTACAGGTCTTTGTGCATTTACTGGGGTTGAGCCAGGCCCTGGTAATAAGAGTGGCTTGAAACCTTACCTGCAACTGAGGGTAGAATATCCAAGAGAAGAGGACTGATGTCTAACCCCTGCTGCCTGCAAAGAATTGTGAAATTGGTGGTGACTCTCAGCAAGGCACAGAAACAGTTGAATCACACTGGGGCAAAGACCACAGTTCAGAGCCATGAGCAGGGTGGTGCCCTTACCACACAGAATGGCAGTATTGGCAGGATGCTCAGAGGAGGTAGCCTGGGACCCATTAGCCATCTGCAGAAAACTCTCAATTGACTCTTCAGGTTGCTTGAGGCTAGCTCCAAGTCTTGCATACTGTCTATAAAAATGGTATAGTATCAGTAGCTCAGGAGAAAAACATCATTGACTTACACTATGCAGCTCTTTCCCCCCATGGATTCCATAGCACCACCATCCTGCCCAGATGGTAAGAAAGTCACTTAGCCATCTCAACACAATCCAGTCCCATGTGCATATGCCTTGTCCCATAGACCTGCATAGGCAGATCTCCTCTTTGGAGCCTACCTATTAGGGCATCCCAGAGAAGGGACATAAGGGGACCTAGGCAGTCATTGACTACCACAGGGCTGAAAGTTCTTGTCCTAATGTCAGAGTACATTCATATGTTCAGGGCCCAGCAGGCCTCCCAGGTGTTGCATGGCACTCCTTGCATACCTGGTTTGTTCTAGGATAATAGCTGCAGTAGCAAGATGACAGTGAGTTCGAGTCCAGAGTTAGGTTCAAGCACTGATTCCCTAAAGGCAGTTCAAAGAGGCGCAGTTCCTTAAACCATACTTAAATGGATTTCAAACCTATCACCCAGGGATTGGGACAGGGTGGTCACTGAGGGGCCCAGTGTAGATTATAAAAGCCAAGTATCTGGCTGCCTGCATAGATAGGTTAAAGTTTGGACTATCAAAGTGCATAGTTTCTCTGGGCATACATGCCTGTGAGTTACAGACCTGAGAAGGAAGCCCCTGCCAACATGGACCTTGGTGCTTGTAGGTCACCATTGTTTACTGTGGCCTCCTGGGTGCAGGCACTGGACAAACCTACAGGATGTTCAAAGATAAAGGCAAGAGACACGTGCCCATAAGAAACAGTTCCCTAGGAAGTGGTCAGGGGTGTGAGACACACAGCCTCATCTGAGGCTGGGGCTTGGAAAGCAGCAGAGCTTAGGCTGAGATCTTGGAGATCCTGGGAAGGCGGATAGAGGAGGGTGCAGAAGGCTGTTCTGCTGTTGGAGGGCAATGATAAGTTCTGAAGGGAGCTGCACTACTGGCAGTGCACTGGGGCTCTAAAGAGAGCCATGGAAAGTGTCAGCAGCAGGCTCAGGCTGGGCAAAACAGTGGGACCCTAAAACACCCCACCTCCCCAGCTACTGTGTGGAGCACAAAAGGGTAGAGGAACGGGACAGAGGCAATTCACTTATATAGGCCAAGTGAAAGGAAGATGGAGCAGGCCAGTCAGGGCATAGGGATGGCCTTGAGAGTTTGAACATAGATCACCAAGACACAAGTGCAGGGCAGAAGTGATGGGTTGACCTGATGGCACAGGTGGAGCTGGATGAAGGTGAAGGTGGCATTTGTATGGTGCTCATACTAAGCCCAGGTTGTTTCCCTGTTTTCCCAGACCTGCAAGTTCTGAAACATGGGCTCAGCTTTCCCTGAGCTCACAGAACCATGGAATTGAGCCTGTCCTCTGCAAACAAGGTTAAGGCATCTTGTCAGGACTCTTACTTCCCAAGCCTGCAGATCCCAAGCACATGGGTCCAGGTGGGCCCAGACTTCGTGCTAGGTTGAACAAGAAGAGCTTCTGATGAAAAATATAGTCATGGCTGGGAGGCTCAGACAGCAGGCCAGGCTGCCCTTCTGAACTGAGGCTAGCTACTACTGTGGGTGCGGGCCCAGGGACTGTTCCTCACATGTCATCCTCTCACTTAGCCTTGGTTGTACTGGATCCTCTGTTATGGTCAGTTTCCTCTTCCAAAGCCATGCACTTGGCATATAGTACTGGGATCTTGAGTTGCAGGGTTCACCTTGCCCTTGCAGCTAGTTGCTAAGGCTGCTGTCATGCCTTGGCTAGTGGCTTCCACAGATGGAGCTTACCAGCTTATGCCCTCTGGACCAAACTAAGTTCTTTGCCCTGGTCTGCTTCCTCTTGACATTCCCCCCTAATGTAGATGTCCTGTTTTTTTTGTGGTTGTTTTGTTTTGTTTTTTTAACCTTAGTTCTGCTAGGATATGTTATTGTCTACTTGGCCCTGTCAGTCATTTTTTTGTTTCCTTTTGAGCATTTTTTTCAACTCTCCTACAGTCATAGCTGGGTGGGGCCTGGCTGCCTCAGCAGATGGTTAGAGTGTAGGCACGTCTGAAGTCCCACTGGAAACAGTTCTTAGTGAACACAGCTCCTGAAGTGATGTCAGGGGTGTGCTGCTGCCACCACAGTCATATGCTGAGCAGATGTCATAGGCATGCTCGAGGCCCTTGAGAAATGGGGTCCTTCAGGAAGGGCTTTCCATCATGGCCATTAGGAAAGGTACACAGAGTCCATGTTCTGTCCTTGGTGTGTCTCAGTGCTGGGCCAGGTGTCTTGAATTAATTACTACCATTAGTTTTTCTAGAAAGATGGTGTGACTTCACATTACTCCAGTTACAGTTGAGGGTAGGGCCTGAGGAACCCATACTTCTGTAGCCACTGTGTGGCCTATGAAGTATTCCTTGGAAGAGCCCAGGGCCTCTCCCTGCTCTGAAAACTGTTCTCCAGCTTTCTCCTCACCCTCTCTTCTCGTCATCTCATTAGCTTCCAGGTATGCATAGGAGGTCACTGCAGGTAGTCCTGGCCCCAGGTTCTCTGTGGAGCATTATTGCTTCCTAGTTATGGAATCTCTTGGGGGTGCTTTGGACCAGTCACATATGTCAGGACAATGGAAAGGTGGGGCCTGAAATTGAATAAGCCCTCTTTGTACCTAATGACTTCAGTCTACTTCTGAACCTCTTCCTCTCAGAAATGAGCAGCAGCCTAGAATCCTGTACTGGGTGCCACTCATACCCTCAGCTGGGTCTCACAGAGACCTGGCAGGTGATCTGTGAGAGATGGCTTAAGGGTCTGCACCTCAGCAATCAGAAGAGGGTCCTAGAGCCCCAGGACCTCACCTGCTCCCCCCATATTTCCATGACATGTACCCAGAGCCCCACCTTCTCTCAACTCTCCTGCTGGAGACAGTGACCAACATTTTGTGTTTCCTGCAGGTCACTTGGATGTCAGCATGGCAGCCACAAACCTGGAGAACCAGCTGCACAGTGCACAAAAGAACCTGCTCTTCCTTCAGCGGGAGCACGCCAGCACACTCAAGGGGCTACATGCTGAGATCCGGAGGCTGCAGCAGCACTGCACAGGTGGGGGCAGGCTGATGGCTACAGAACCAGAACCACCGTCAGAATGTGCAGTCTGGTCAGCAGCTGTGCCAGGCCCACTTCCCATGCCGATATGTCCACACATTTAATCCTCCGTTGCCCACACCCCTGTAAGTCTTACACCACACAGCATCGTGGAAGCACTGAGCACTCAGCTTCCAGCCTTGCCATAGAACAGCCGATGCCTACAGCACTCGATCACATAGTAACCTGCTCGCTTACTTTTTGCTGTTGGGGTGTGTTCCGGGAAGATGAGGAGGGAACTCTTGAGGGAGGGTCCTCTTGCAGCTCTGATAGGAACCTTGACCTCTGCTATTTCTTACATCAATCTTGTACAGGGCAGAACTCACTGGGATTTGATGCTGTTTTCAGTACTGATATGAAGTACGTCATGATAATGTGTCATGTTTCCTTTGTAGATCTAACATATGAGCTGACACTCAAAAGTTTTGAACTGACAGGTAAGAGCTCCTCCCCACATGTGGGTGCATTTTTTTTTTTTGTAATGTATTCCCACTGGTCACGTGCTTAGGGTCCCCTTTGCAGTGAGGGTCATTTCCTTGAGCAGACAAGTTTAGAGCACTCTGACACCTGTGGGCTGGCGTAATGAGTGGCTTTTTTCACTTCCCATTAATACATATGTCTAGAATGTCTATTATATACTTTTCAGAATTTTCTAACTTTTCTACCATGAATGTATATCTTTCTGTAATCCAGAAATAAACCCAGTGTGACTTGCTAGAAAGGAGGAAAAGTGAGAAGTAGGCAGAAGGCCCTCCTACTCCAGTCTCCAGAGCTTAACCAAGCTCTAGTCCAAAGCCAGACTGCTCTGTAATTGGGAAGGGGTGGGGGAGGGCAGTGGGCTTTCATTCGTGGCCCAGAGGTTGGGACCATCATTCTCTGGACTTCAGTCTAGATATGCTTCCCTAGTGAGAATCGCTAGGGACCCTCAAGGGTATAGCATACCAGTGGTGACCAGAGAAATGATGGGGACAGGGTCTTTTAGGAACGATGAGCCTGTGAGAATGGCTTGTTCCTTAGCACAGGACTGGGACTTAAGGGTTTAGGACATATATTGGGGGAGACCTTTTCCCTAACTAAGCTCTACAAGGGCAATCTGCTCTCATGAGAGTCCGGTCTTTTTTGTAAGCCTCAGGTCACATTAATGAGCATTTGTTACTCTGTCCCATCTCCTGAGCACTCCTGTCATGGTTTTGTCTGAGTGGGTGTAGAAGGCCCTGCCAGGCTTCATAGGCCTTGGAGCAGGAGCCTACCCACCAAAATCTCTCTGTAGAGCCAAGACACCCAAGTCCTCTGCCAGGAACTCAGGCAGCGACTCAGGACAGAGTTGCCCATGCTGTGGGAGCCAGGGTGTCCTCACACCTCCCCCTTTTGCCCAGATTAGTCTGCAGCAGCTCTGAAGCCTCTGTCTCAATCCCCCCTCACCACCCATTTACGACACCCTCAGCAGCATTATGGCTTTTGTCAAAGGTGTATGGGCTGCTACTTCAGCAGAGGGGGCAGTTTGAAAAGCCTCTGGCTGGGTGGGTTTTGTGAGGGCATATCCCGTCCTCTGGGGTGAAACTAGTGCTCAATTCAGAGCACATCAAGGCAGGTCAGAAAGAATCCTGATTCTCTCTCCTGAAGGCCATGAAGCCTGTGGTCAGGAGAGGCCTGGAATCTACACACATGAGTGCACAGTGACACAAGCAGGCTCAAGCAGTACTGCTCAGTGCTGAGGAGCAGTTGGTGTACACCTCTCGTGAGGAGACAAGGAAAGTCAGAAGTTTCTAGAGAGGATGTGTGTAGAGGACCAAGGGTACCAGCACCTCTTGAAGCACCTGCTAGTTCCGGGCCTCTCAAGGATAGGAGGCCAAAACAAGCACGTTACTGAGGAACCCTGGATTTCTGTTCTGCTGGGACTAGGGCTGTGTGCCTGACAATGTCTATACTGGCTCTGAACCTATGACTGTCAAGGACCGTGTCCTTCACCAGTACTAGGGAGTCTGCTCTAATGTGTAGGTTCGTCAGGCCTCTTCGAATTCCCTACGGACACGGATCCCATAATGTTGTGTCTGGCTGGGATGCAACCAAAGGCCTGAGGTTGTAGACCCACTATGCTGTAGATAGGGCTGAGATGGGAGGGCCCACCTGCAGGCGTCTGGAGGAAGAGCAGTGGGTGTCAAGCCTGACTACTGTGCTGGAGTTCCTCGCTGCACTTGAGAATCTAGTGCTGTAGGGATTTTTATATTCTTTTGGTTATAGCTAAAAGCACAACTCATAGCTAATACTGCATCATTTCTAGGGCTACCATTTACTGATTTGGTCTTCCTCTACACACCATAGCTAATACTGCATCATTTCTAGGGCTACCATTTACTGATTTGGTCTCCCTCTACACACAAACATACACACACACACACAACACACACACACACACACACACACACACACACACACACACCTGTGTTTACCTGCAGTGAGTTTGCAGTGTACACTCACCCATAGGGCTTCTAGTAACTCAGTCTACCTGAAGCTGCTGATATGCTCCCAGCACCCACAGGTACTGCAGGGATAGCTGCAGATTTTGGATGCAGAGATCTGGAGTTGAATCAACTATAGAACATAGAAGAAACAAAGGAGACAGGCAGCTCACGTTCATGTGGGTGCAGAAAGCATGAAACAGATTGACTGTCCGACTGGCAGCTTGTTAGGCCGTGAGGAGTCATTATTGGCCAAGGGAGAAAGAGGGGAGCAGGGCAGATTGAAGGAGGCCTGGGAGGTGGTGGCACACAGTGGGAAGTAGGGCTAGACAGATCAGAGAGGTCAGTAGAAAGGGAAACTTCTAGATTGGGGCAACTGGGAAAATAAAGGTGGCAGAAGAACAGGGTCTAGGCCTGAGGGACATGTCTGACACCCTTCACTTGTAGAGCTGGCACTCCAGAGACGCTGACCCCAGCTGACGCTCAAGCTGTTTTAACTTCAGCACCTTCAGATTCTGGAGACGTTCTTTTACGCAGTAAGCCAGGGAACCAAGAGCTGGGAGGGGCCTTAGAGACCCCCTGATTCGCCTTTAGTGGGAGCAGGGTCTGCAGGCTATCCTGCACCCCGCCTACCATAGGGCTCCTCGCCAGGGCCCTCCACAAAGGCCATGAGCATCTCCTTCCTCTGCTAGGCTCTGACCTGGCACCTGACTTTCTCCTGCAGGAGATGGCTCTTCTAGAACGACGGAGCTGAAGAGGCGCTGTGAAGAGCTGGAGGCCCAGCTGAAGGCCAAGGAGGAAGAAAACCGCAAGTTACTGCAAGAACTGGAACAGAAGAACGCTGCCATCGCTGTGCTGGAGAATACAGTCCGGGAGAGAGAGAAGAAGTACCTGGAGGAGCTGAAGGTGAAGAGCCACAAGTTGAGCATGCTGTCTGGTGAGTTAGAGCAGCGCGCCAGCACTGTGGCCTACCTCACTTCACAGCTACATGCAGCCAAGAAAAAGCTACTGAGCTCTAGCGGCACCTCTGATGCCAGCCCAGCCGGCAGCCCTGCACTGGCCAGCTATAAGCCCACACCTCCCAAGGACAAGCTGCCTGAGACACCCCGTCGCCGCATGAAGAAGAGCCTGTCGGCCCCACTGCATCCTGAGTTTGAGGAGGTCTACAGGTTCGGAGGCGAGAGCCGCAAACTCCTCCTGCGGGAGCCGGTAGATGCAATGCCTGATCCCACCCCGTTCCTGCTGGCCCGGGAGTCTGCTGAGGTCCAGCTCAAAGAGCGGCCTCTTGTCATACCTCCTATCGCCTCAGACCGTGGCGCCAGTGGGCAACATAGCCCAGCACGAGACAAGCCACACAAGACCCACATCGGGGTGGCTCATCGCATCCATCATGCCAGTCCACCACAGGCCCAGCCTGAGGGGGAGACCAGGGCCGTGGACCAAGTGAACACAGGGAAGGTGGTGCGGAAGCACTCAGGGACAGACCGAACTGTGTGAAGCCTGCGGCCACCACCGCAGCCATCCGTGCACTGTGAGCGCCACAGGGAACCTCACCCACACCTTCCTCACCCCACCCAAGCCAAATGTTTCCTACCATCGCAGCCTGGCTCCTGGTCCCATAGTAACACACTGCTATGATGGTGTCCCCTCTGAAGATATTTACTGGCACTGTGGCCAATGCCTGCATGCCAATAGCTTGCTTCTAGCCCATCAGCACACTCCTAGATAAGGCCTAGGCCATGGCTGCATCACATGCCACACTCAGAATCAGAACTGCTTGAAATCAAAGCATATAAGGACCCGCCCCTCCCAATATCCAGGGCAGCCTATGAGAGCAGAGCAGAGCAGAGCAGAGCTTCTCCCTCCTGGAGACTCGTACCTTCCCATAGCCCCTTTGCTGAGCAGCTGTATGTCACATGATCTAAGCAAGATGACCTCACCCCTCATACTATCCCAACCTGAATGTGTATTTCTGTTAAGTTTTTTGTTAGTTTCATCCAAATGTTCAGGATCCAACAAATGTTACTTTCTAAACCCACCCTCCTTCTCCTCTGTGTCTTTTTGAAGCACGAGGGACTGTGGAGGAAGTGGGAGGGAAGGACTAGCAGGTGGGGGTGGGATACTTGCAGCCCCAAGTGCTTGCTGAGATGTTGGTGCTCCTGCATTTCTGGCAGAAGCTGCTTTCTGTCCTGCCTGGGCTCCACACTGCCTCCTTCTCCCCAGCTGGCCAGGCCAGCCTCACAGTATAAGAGAGGCAGCCAGTAGCCATTCATCCCCAAGCCAAACAAAGGCCCTGGGAGAGGAGGAGTCTGGAACTTAGGAAGGAACTGAATACTTGACCCAGAATAGGAGGTCTGCCCCAGCAGCCTCAGCCTCCTGTGTTCTTGCCAGCAAAGGGCACATGCTGGAGCAGAGACAGGTAGAGCCCCACACCAGTGGCTTAATAGGAATGAAGAGAGACTGCACTTGCCTTAAAACTTGCACTGGCGTGTGCTGGGTCCAGAATTCTCAAAAAGAAGATCGAGAAGCAAAACCAAGGCTAGAGAGATGCTGCTGCCCAAAGATTACAGCAACCACATGGCGGCTCACAATTGGCTGTAACTCCAGGGACTCCGACACCTCACATGTGGTGCACGTATATTCAGGCAGGCTCACACACATACACAGAAATAAAATCATAAAAACAAAACTTGAGTGTGGTGGTGCAGATTTGTGACCCCAGCCCCGGGGAGGTGGAGACGGGGATCCTGAGGCTTTGGCAAGTCAGCAAGCTCCGGGATAATGAGACATTATCTCAAAAAACACACAAAAATCCGTCGCATAACAAGATTCATTTAATAGAAAAGTATGTTTATATGGCCAATTTCAAATGTAAGGAAATTCAGCATCAAACACTTTCCACCACCACTGCACCTGAAACGACACCAGTCTCCCATTCTTCATGAAGCATCAGCACCTGTGTGGCCCACCATAGCATGGTAGCTCCATGTAGTCCTCCACATGCTAGAGTTAATCTGAGTTCAGGGTGAGGCACACACCCTGTAGCACCCAGTGTGAGATGTGCTTCGTGGTAAAGAGGTCAGCTTCAAACACTAGGCCGACTCCCATGGCATTCCTCCTCATGGAGGTAGTGTAGACAGGTGTCCGGAAGGTGTTCTGCAGAGAGAGGCAGGTGGCATCAGATCATGGCTAGATGGGATTCAGCCCAAGCACTTCACATGCAGTAGTCCCAGGCTTACATCTGAGTACCATAGGGTGACTGGGCAAGTGCCGCCCAGGAGGCACCTACTGTCCACACTAGATGAGGCCACTATGTGACTGTGTGTGTCCAGAATTTCCTAAGAAAGGAGGTTCCCCTGAGTCTCTACTACAGGCTCTAAACTTGGACTTGCCCCCTGGGGATGATGGGCAGCCATATGCATGTATACAAGAATTTTTCCCCTGAACTGGCCCCATAGCTTAAAGCAAGCCCCCCAGAGCTTCTTTAGCCTGCCTTGAGAGGAGGGAAGGCACAATGGGGTCAGGGAAGTGACTGTCACCTGTAGCTTCAGGCGGTGAGCTTCAATGGGGATGATCTTCAGGATGGGCAGGTCCACAACCAGCACCTTGGGCTTGCTCTTGATAAGACACCCAAACTCTATGTCCCAGTCAGCGCCCTCCAGGTAGAGCCCCGAGACAAAGCACCCTGGGGGTGACAAGATGCATCTGTGTCCTGTTTTGTGGTTACTTTTCCTCTCACAGTTGTGCACAGAGGACAAGTATAAAAGCTACTGTGACACACACCCCCCTTCCACATGCAAAAGAACAGCTAGACAGGAGACACAGGGCTCCAAGGAAGTGAGTCCAGGCAGCACCTCTTTCCTTGGACTCTGGCTTCAGGGCACACAGCAATCCCAGCATCCTCTGAAGCAAAGGGGAAGTCTAAGAGGAATATGGTCTCTAGCATGCAGAGACCCCAAAACCGAGAATGCCAATACTTACTGGTGGTCTAGTGGTCAGTGCAAAGGCAAAAACTGTCCACCTGCCCCACAGACTGGCAGCTGGATGCTTATCAGTGAGACCTATCTGAGGGTCCCCAAGACTTACCCATTAATCCACTCTTGTTAAAAAGACACAAAGGGACTTCTGTTCTTTGCAGTTCAGTGGGCTCTAGCTAGGGGAACAGTTTCTAACTAGCGTCTACAAGGAGTGCTGCTGGACAGGCTCAAATCACATCTTCTAGCAGATGTGTCCTATGGGCAGAGAATAGGAGTGCAGCACAACACAGTTGCAGACCTACTTAAAAGAGTGAGTTTTTTTTTTTTTCATGATTTTTAAACAGATTATCCAGTTCTCAACTAGGAACTTTGTAGTTGATAGCGTCATGTCACACATCAAAAGGTTGGTTGTGTCTGACTGAGGCTCCAGGTTAGCCTATGCGCTCTTTGGTTCCTATACTTCTTTCCTTACCGGGGAAGCCACTCGCTGATCTCTTTGAAAACTCACTTAACATAGGAGCCCACTTGCCACAAACTAGTATGGTCAGGCCTCCCTGCCATCCACCCTGTGACTGCTAGTCTCCAGTGAGAAACTCTGCTCTGAGAAGCCACAAATAGCACCATAGGCAGTAGCTCAGCTCAAGCATGGCCCAATCCACACGGTGCTCGATGCTCGTCCCTTTGAGTTGAGGGATGGTTCCGGGAGGGAAGCCCCAAATGGAGACCAGGGTATGTGACTCTCATTGTACCTTGCCCCGCACGCTCGTTTACTTCATCAGCATCCTGGAACTTGGTCACTTGTGTGAACAAAGTGGACCGGTCCAGCGGCCAGCCATTCCTCCGGCATGTGGCCTGTACCAGTGCTGTGAGGTAGGACTCTGGGATGTGCAGCCCTGAGAGCCACATCACGCTGGGCTCACTCTCCGTAACCTGGTAGGGAAGATGGGCAGAAGTAGAAGCCTAAGCTCTAGCACCAGGTTCAGAGCTGATAGATTTCCCATGGTGACAAGCTGCTCATTGGAGAAAAAGCTGACCGCCAAACTCCAGGTAGACCAAAAATTTAGGGAGACACCAAGGTCATTAAAGTGCTTGCCACACAAATGTGGGGGGCCTGAATCTGATCCTCGAGACCCACATTAAAAGCATCAGGTATGGTGACACATGCATATAATCCCAGTGCTGAGGCTCCCTGAGCAGCCAGCCCAGCCAAGTGAGTGAACCTCAGGTCCTAATGAGAAGCCCTGTTGGTTGGTTTACTCTTTGGGCTCTTTTGGGGGGCTGCCAACCAAGCTCCCAAATAAATCACTCTTGGAGGCTTATTATTTATGAATGCCCAGCTTTAGTTTGTCTTGTTTCTAGCCAGCTTTTCTTACATTATCCCATCTACCTTTTGCCTCTGGGCTTTTTTCCTTTTCTTACTTTCACTCTTACTCCATGGCTGGCTGGGTAGCTGGCTCCTGGCATCCTCTTCCTTGTTCTCTTGCTCTTTCTTCCCTCCTCCCAAATTTCTCTTTCCTCCATGTATTCTCTCTGCCTCCCAGCCCCTCCTATCCTTTCTCCTGCCTCTATTGACTGTTCAGCTCTTTATTAGACCATCAGGCAAAGTAACACAGCTTCACAGAATTAAACAAATGCAGCATATAAAAAATGCAACACATCTTTGCATCATTCAGCAAATGTTCCACAGCATAAACAAATGTAACACATTTTAAAATAATATCCCACAGCAAAACCCTATATCAACAAAGTCATGGCCCATGAGGAATGACACTCAAGGCTCACATCTGGCCTCTACACACATGTGCACACGCCAGCGTGCATACAGTAGACACCCACAGAAGTACCACATCAAACCTTTCACTGTTTGCTCAAGTGGAGAATTCCAAAGCCCAGAAGCTACCAAAGAAAAGACTTTTGGCTGCATTCAAACTTAAAACCTTTCTATAGAAACATGCACATACAGCCAAGTGGTGGTGGCACAGCCTTTAATCCCAGCACTTGTAAGGCAGAGGCAGGCGGATCTCTCTGAGTTTGAGGCCAGCCTGGTCTACAAGAGCTATTTCCAGGCCAGGCTCCAAAGCTACACAGGGAAACCCTGCCTCAAAAAAAAAAAAATAGACAGACACACATACACACCATCATCATCTAAGTAAATGGCTCCCAGCAGGGAGGAGTCCATGCATCACTAGCAGACCAAGGGTTACCTTCTCTCAATACAAAGAACTCTTAAAAACCAATGAAAAGGGCTAAAGATACAGTTCAGTGAATAAAGAACTTGTCACACAAGCTGGAAGACCTGGGTTTGGATGCTTGGAAACTGTAAAGGTGGGTGTGCCACCACGCATCTAACCTTAGTGCCCCTACAGTGAGACGGGAGACAAGAGGAGGGTCTGTGCCACCACGCATCTAACCTTAGTGCCCCTACAGTGAGACGGGAGACAGACAAGAGGAGGGTGAGAGGCTCACAGGTCAGCTGGCTTGTAGCATTTAGCAGTGAACAGGGACCAGTCTCAAATAAGGCAGAAGGCAAGGGCTGAGTCCTAAAGGTTGTCCTCTGACCCCCAACATATGAACACAAATGCATTCATTCATGCACAGCAGATACACATGCTTCATACATACATTTAAAAAAATCAGTGTAAAAAGAGTCTTGTATCAAAAGGAAACAGAAAAGTTCACAAAAAATAGAAATGAAACACCTTCCATTTCACCTTCATTAAAGAAATGCAGGACAAAAACAACTAGATGTCCCATCAGTGAGCAAAAGCCACAAACTCTCAGACCATAGTGATTTGCAGAAGAAAACAGATGTCACTCCCCAAGAATTATGACTTCAACTTTCTAGAAACCCCACAGACAAGACTTCAGCTCACACTTGTAATCCCAACACTTGGGAGGTTGAGGCAGGAGGATTGCCACCAGTTCAAGCCAGCCTGGGCTACAGAGTTAGAGACTACCTCACAACAACAAATAAATATATCAAGTGCATGTGTGCTCTAGGGTGTGTGGTATACACACTGACTGCATTCGTGGACAGTGACCACACTGCTCTTTGTGACACAAATATACACAGTTGCCAACTACATGTCCACCACCAGGCAGAAGGACAAAGACCCTAAAAATGAGCTAGAACAGATGCCAAGATATTTAGAAGAAATCATCTCATGCGCATAGTAAATCAGACTTGCCAAGGCATACCAGACTGGCCTGTGGCAACTGAGGCCATCTCTGTGACACCTGATACACATTTTCCCAGGGGTGTGGGTGGGTGGGCAGAGACAGAGCCACCGTGGGACTCACCCACAGTGTGTACTGACTGAACCGCCGCAGGAAGTAGAGCATCCAGTTTCCAAGGGTCTTCAGGGTGTCAGGGGCAAGCTTCCTCCAGATGTGAGGGATGTGCCCGAGGAAGAGAGACCTGGCTACATCATCTAACTCACTGCTCATCCCAACTTCCCCAGCCAAGGCCTGTTGGCAGAACAGAGTCCTCAGCAGGGCTGTGGAGGGCAGGGCCCCCTCTGCCAAGTAGCTCCATGCGTCACACTCACTCTCTGGAGCTCAGCCAGAGATCTGGTCATGCGAATGGCAAGCTTGTTGAAGCGCCCCAGCTCCTGCAGCAGCACCACCGAGGTGGGTGAGATGTTCAAGCCCAAGTGCTTCCGGACCTGGTCCAGGTCAAAGATCTTGGGCATCTTGTTTTCAATGTCCTTGGCCACCTGGCCAATGTAGTCATCACGGCTGATGCCACTGCTGGATTCCCCTGGAAGGATGACACTTTAAGAGATTTCAAGGCTAGCTGTATGGAGGATGGAGCTTTGCGAGCCTCTTTGTTCTTTGGGAAGCTACCTGCACCCAGCAATAGCACCCCTTGCCCCTAAGCTAGTGTGCTCCCTGGCAGCTATACCTGTCTGTGGCTGTAGCTCCAGCAGATGGCCCCACATGTCTCGAGCTGCCTGTGTGTAGTAGCCAATCTCAGCATTGGAATGGAGACCAAACACTTCTGGCGTGTTGGCAAGTGGGAGGGCCTCGATGGCTTCTAGAATCACAGAGGGGGGTAGGGGAAGGAGGGAGAAAGGGAGGGAGAAAGAAGGGGGAGCAGGTTGTACTGTGTTCATGCGGACACCCCCTGCCCACTCACCAAAATCAAGAGTAATTCCATTGCTGGTGAATTTTAAAATAAAGGCCCTATTCCACCCACATGCACTGTCTCTGTCATGCAGGTGGCTCAATGACCTTCAAAGGTAAGGTTCCAGAGCTGGTAACCTCAGCCAAGAGGCAGTTCTGAGGTGTGGCAGAGCCCAGGGGACAGCCTCACTTGCCCAGCCCAGGAGTCCCATCAGAAGAGGGTGGCAAAGAGCCCGAGCCAACCACAGGAAAAGCAGATGAAATCTGCCATCTTTCAAAGAACTTTCTTCACCCTGGAACAGCTCACCAACGAATTTATCCTTTACATCACCCACAGGGATTTTATAGTCCACTTCCTTGTTCCGGAAGAAGTGGAATGGTTGAAAGGTATCGAAAATGAAGTCGCCCAGGTACTCGTCCATGTACGTGGTTAGGATGCGCCGGTCAAAGCTGTCGATGGCCCGACCTCCGTACATGACCTGAGGTCAGAGTGGGTGAGAGAGAGCCAGTGGGGACCCATAACCCCACATGCTCCTGCAGCTCCGGGCCCCACCACTGCCCTGCTCCAGCCTGTCTGTCCAGGTCACTTTCTGGGCCAGACAGACAGGGGGCTTATCTATAAAATCATGCTGTAATCTGAGACCTAACAGAAAAAGCATGAAGCAGCCCTTTAATGCAACTGGGAAGATTCCCAAATGGATCAGACAGACCAACACACAAGAACCCAGACACCAGCAGTTAGCCATTCTGCATTGCAGAATTCCTCAAATCTAGCTTTCCCATGAGTTCAGCTAGAGTCATGGTACCCCAAGAACACAACAAGGCTCCCCGGATATGCCCTGCACATTGGCAACCTGGAAACTGCCCAGAGGAAGATTAGCAGTGGCCCCAGGGTCCTAGAGCCCCACAAGAGACCTCCCTGGGAATGGAGTTTGTCAAGGAACAACAGTGAGGAGGCAAGAGTATTTTTCAGGGACCTCAGTTAGGGTGGTAAGAGTGGGTGGGGGGCAGGAATCTCAAGGACTCAAAGGACAGGTGTCTCAGTCCCAGACCCAGCCCTCAGGAGGCACACAACCCTCATCACCTCTCCGATCAGGTACTTGAGGCTGCCCCATGGGATGCGCGGGTCATGCTGCTGGAAGGCTTTCGTTAGATAGGTGCTTAGGATTTCCATGCAGACCTTAGAGAGAAGGAATGACTGTGGTTAACAGTCACTCACATCCTGCAGCTTGCTGTTGGTGAACTTGGAAGGCAGGTGCAGAAGCCAGCCAGCTCGGGATGCACAGGCTGGACAAATGTCTCCATGCTCACCTGGAAGTCGGACTCATTGAAATCATAATACACATTCCAGCCAATCTTGCCAAACTTCCTTCTCTCTTGTACCACAGCGTGGAAGAAGGCCAACACGTAGACCAGGGGCTTGAAGGCGTTATGTGGGCACTGATCCAGCATTTCATGGGAGATCTTGAAATAGGTTGCGCGCATGTTCAGTTTGAGCCCATTAGGTGGCTCTGTGACCACCTGCAGAAAGGCAGAAAGCAGGCCTGACCGGGGAGGCCTCCACCACCTCCAGCCCCCACAGCATGTCTCCAACTGTGATGAGAGATCTAGATGGCACAAACACCCAAGTCTCACAACCACCTAAGGAGAGTGGGATGGGTACATGGGGCATCCCCTTTACCCTAGGGTCCCCCATGGCAGGGACCGGGAGGACTAGGGCTGTAGCATGTCTGTGCTGATGCCCCAAGGCAGACCTTTAAGGACTTCTGCAGGATCCCAATGGGGAAGCCCTTGGTGGGGTCCGTGGTAAGCCACAGGCGGAAGTCTGGGTGTGGCTTGGTGATCCTCTCCAGGGACTTCTCCAGGTCCTTCAGCCACTTGACCAGGAGATGGCAGTTCTGCAGCATGAGCCACTGTCCACGAGCCACTGCGGTCTCCAGCAGCTGCAGTGCCACCTGCAGGGGGAGCGGAGTGGACTAACATTCCCAGGCTAGGCCAACCCCATGCTTCAAGGGAACAGAAGGATGCAGGGATCCAGGAGCTAAGGGGGAAACCATCCTAAGACATTCTCCCTGCCACCTGTGACCTCAGGGCCAGGCATGGCTTAGTAGATGAGCCTCGTGTCTCTTCAGCTTCCACAGTGCCGAAATCCCTAACTTCCATCACAGTCACACTGCACCCAAGACTGCACTTGAGCAGGCCTGCAAGAGTCCTACCCATCCCTCTGGGAAGCAGAACTGGCCCATAGAATTCAGATGTAAAGGGCTGGAGCACAGAGGTGGCCCACGATCCCTTCCTGAGTGTACTGCAAAGGCAATGACCTCTTCTTCAGTGCTGCCTTGGTCTCCAGAGGACCCAAGGCCTGGGTGACACTCACACGGAAATGGCTTCCTCCAGTTTGGAGGTTGGAAAGAAATCTCTGCCTGTGGTGCCTTGTGCCTTGTGCACCCAGGGTCACTGTCCCTGTCCTGGGCGCTGGTAGCAGTGTTTCCCAGACTTTCATAGACACTTTGCAACAAAGCCAAGACTAGTAGTTGGCTCCCTCTGACCATGAATGCTTTGCCCTGTCCCAATGAGCTAGCAGGTGGCATGGGATGGGACAGATGGCCCCCAAAGGGTCACCCTAAAATCCCTCTGAGCCACACACGAGGAGCCTAAGACCAGTGACCCACATGAGACCATGGTGACAGAGGGTTTTGAAAAGAGTGGAACTCAGTGGCTGCAGGAGGTGGGGAGACCACAGTCAAGCTATTACCAGTGCCACACTGTTTGATCTTGACTTCCTGTCCACCAAGGGAGCACTCCTGGGCACAGCTCACACCAAACCACTAGTTACCTTTTCTTGACCTTGACCCATTGCGAGAAACTTGAGGCGATTGCCCCCAAAGCCACTCCGCTCAGCCAGCTTCATGAGATCACTGGCAGGGTCCGAGCCAGGACTCAGGATGAACACAATGGGCGAATTGGGGGTGCTCTGCTCGAAAATGGTCTCGAAGCTGATCATTGGGGGCTGCACATACCTGGCAAACGGGAGAAGGTGAAACAACCTGCAAGGCAACTAGCTCTAGGCCACCTTTCTACCCTCCCACCTCACCCCACCCCAGTATCCAGAACTTCTGACTATGGCTGTCACGTAGCTCTCCACACATTTGTCCTAGTTTTTTGGGAATCCTGTTACACACATAGACCCGGCAGACTGTGATGCTCTCCTATGGAGCAGAGGCCCCTCTGCTCCCTCTACCTCATGTGATCCCTGCATACTGGATTCAGCAAGTTGGTACTGAGCTGGGTGCTCTGGTCTGCCCTTCATGTGCACAAGCCTCAGACATATACCCAGAAATCACACACCAACAGCTCTTTGGGCATGCCCCACACTGCCCCTTTTCTTTAGGGTTTTTAATTAGTTATACTCTAATTTAGACAGCACTCATCCCCAAACACACATGTGCTAGACACATGGACCTCAACATGATGGTATCAAGAGGTGGTGGGTTTAAAGAGTGGAGCCTGCTGGTCACTAAGGCTTAACATAGTTCCTACAGGACTGGGTTCATTGTCACATCGTGGCCAGGCAGTTACAAAGTGGGGCCCCTCATGTGCCGGCTTCTTTGGCATATGGCCCTTTCTCTTTTTGCCAGGTTGTGATGCAGCCAGGCTGTGATTCTGGCCACCAGAATCAAGGGCCAAATAACCCTCTTTTCATTCTGCATCACCCAGCATGAGGTGTTTAAAGCAACACAGAACAGATTAAGACAGCCACCGGTGCATAAAGACGAGGGGATCGCCATCTACTGCCAAAAGAAGCTTTGGGTAGGGTTAGAAATGGATCATTAGGGGCAGGTTTAATACTGGGCCTGTTTAGCAGAGTAATAGTAGTGGGTTCCCTTAGGACCCACATGACTTGTCTATCCACAAATTCCAGCAGGAAGGTGGGCACAAAGTCCCACCCCTACCTGAGGAGCTATTGGCAATGGAGAGAAAGAGAGTCAGTTTTCCCCCCAAAGCTGTGGGCATGGTAGGTCCACCCTGCTCCAGTCAGCACAAATGGGACTCAAAGGTTTTTAAAAAGGGAGAACACAAAGATGCGGGACATGGAAGGAGCTAGAGGAGGGTTGGATGTGGTCAAAATGCATTGTAGGAAATTCTCAAAGATGTAATAAAAATTAAGAAAAGGTGCTGGGCGGTGGTGGCGCTCGCCTTTAATCCCAGCACTCAGCAGGCAGAGGCAGGTGCATCTTTCTGAGTTTGAGGCCAGCTGATATACAGAGTGAGTTCCAGGACAGCCAGGGCTACACAGAGAAAACAAACAAACAAACAAACAAAAAACAAACAAAAAACCCAAAACCACAAAGTGGATGGCTCCTGAGGAATGACACCCAAGCTTTGGCTTCGAACCATACATACACACATGTACCCACACTCCCAAACATGTGCCCACTCTTTCACATACATACAAATTAATTTAATAATTTAAAATATTAAAATACTTTAACTTTTCCTTTCTGCCTGAGCGTGGCCCCTCATGTTTGTCTGGAGCATTCAGGCCATGTCCCTTAGATCAGCTATCCCTGTTCCTGTGGGCCAGTGGCAGGGCACTCACTTCTCTCCCATGGTGAGGGTCACATAGTCCGTCACTGCACGATATACCCGGTCTACCCGGAAGCAGCGTAAAATAAGCAGTTTCTGGAACGCAGTGATGTATTTGTCATAGTCCAGAGGGAATGGGAACTGCTCTAGCGAGTCCAGGTCATACCACTGCAAGAGGCAAAGAGTGTTGACCACCTGGCATCATCTCAGGAATGGCAATGGGTCACCATTTGTACGTGAAGGTGCCAAGAGCCACCAGGGAGGAAAATCTGAACTTTTGATCCAGCTGTCATTGCTAACACCAAAAGCCATGAGTTGAAAAACTGGAAGAGCCAAGTAGCCATCACTGTAGGGTTTAGAGGGCACAGCGGGGACATGGCAGCCAGGAGATGCCCAGGTAGTATTTCTTGGAAGGATGGATGGACAGGAGGATGGGTGATAGGTGGACAGATGAACAGTTGGATAGGTGGGTGAGGGACAGATGAATTAAAGGGTGGACTGATGAGCGGGTGTTGGATACAGGCAGATGGATGGATGAAGAGATGGATGGTGGATAGAGAAATTATGGATAGATGATGACTGGGTGGGTGGTGGACAAAGGGGTGGCTGGTTCTCCTGTGGAGCTAGCAAGACTGGATGAAGAAAAGTGTATCCAAGCCCTCAAGGGCACTGGCCATACGGGGTAGCTTCCCTGGGAAGTGTCTTCCTGGCGGCAGGGAGGCTGTGGGCTCCATGTGGACATGGCTGCCATGTCAGGAAGGAGGGGAGAGAATGCTCACACTCACATCCTGCCAGATGGAGAGATGGTGCTCGAGATCATCAGGGAGCTGTCCAAAAATGTCTGAAAACAACTCTGACAGGAGAATGATGTCTTCCCAGCCCTGGTCTGACAGCCAGGTACACGGCTTCTTCCGCTTACTCTTCTCCAGTGAGATGTTCCCTAATCACAGGGAGAAGAGAGGGACAGCCATGGGCTGCCCATGCCCAGCACAATGACCACACACACTGCACTTCTGTGGCTCTTGCTTTGGGGAGAGGTCCCTTTGCCAAGGAGTGAGGATGCATGGATTTTCCTTGTCACCAGTGAGCCCAACTGGGCAGCTTGGCCAGGCCTCCAGTCTCAACACAGCCCATGGCAAAGATGCCGTGAGTCAACTAGGAAGTGTTTCTGAGGGCAGCTGGATGATCTGTGGCCTTTGGATGCCAAGCTTGAGTGGGATTTTGCTGCTGTTAATGTTTATAGTGAATGGACTTGCATGTCCTGGGTACCTGTGGATAGCAGAGAGAGTGAAAGCCAGTAAGTCCGTTACCTTTTAGAAAGAAGTCCAGCTCCTCCTGGGGGACCCTCCCCTCTGCCTGCTCGATCTTGATAGTCATGTTGAAGGAGAAGAGGAGCTTATGTCTCTCAAACAACCCTGTGGAGAGACAGAGACAGGGACTGCACTTCAGAACTGAGGCCCTTGCACAGGGCACCCTCAAGTCTGAGGGAAGTGAAGTGAAGTCCCACCCCACTAAGTGGCCAAGGCTGTCCAGATGCAAAAGGGCCATCTGTAGTGACAGACACCTGTGTGCGCCTGACATGGTCACATCAGCAGGGGTCACATGTCCCGTAAGTGCAACCGGGGCAGGAGGAGCCACCTTCTCCACAAGGCAACAGAACTGAGTCACTGGGATAAAGGCATGGTGTTTCTAGAGCCGGAAGTGATTCCTGCACCTTTTATTTTAACAAGCACGCAGCCCACTTAAGAGGTTCAAGCTGCAATGTTTCCACACAGGTGAGTCCAATAGAGAGAAAGGGAGCTGCCTATGAAGACAATGCCAGAGCTAGTACTGTCCAGATGGCATTCAGAATGTTCCAGAAGGAGATGTTCTTAACAAACAGTGCATTTGGAAAGTAGAAAATAGTACAGCCATTTTGGAAACCAGTTGGGTAGTCCACCAAAAAGTCAGAGACTTGGCATGTGGCCCAGGAACTCCACTCTAGGGAACATATGGATCCAAAACCAAAAGCAAATGCTCAGGCTGGGAAGAAGCTCAGGGGAGAGCACTCACCTGGCATGCATGAGGCCCAGAGCTCCAGCCCCAGGACCAGCAACATAGGCAGGCATGCATGAGTGCACACACACATGAGCACACCCACACACACACAGACACCCCTGTGGCAAATGTTGACAGCTACATTAGCCTAACAGCCAAAAAGCAGAAGCAACTCAATGTCAACCAGCTGAGAGAGCGCGGCCCGCTACCTATTCAGCACTTGAAATGGGCAGATCCTAATACAGCACAGGCCTTGATGTTCAGAGGCATTAAGTGAAGAGGCTAGCTATGAGAATCACATATTCTGGGACTCCCTTGACAGGAAGTGTCCAGGACAAGTGTCACCTCAGTCAGGAAGTGCAGCAGAGGCTGCCAGGGTGGGGAAGGGAGAGAGGGATTCAGAAATAGCTGAGGGACCAGGCTCAGCCCAATGGAGATGTCCTAGATGTTGGGGCCCAGTGAACTCTGCCAAGCCTGGAATGAGGCATCTTCGTGGTGTGGGGAAGGGAGGATTTGTGGTAGGTGAATCAAATCTCGCTGAAGGTGTGGTTTAGAAGTCAGTCCTCTGGACATCCCTTTGTAAAATAAGCAGTTGGCTCAAAGCAGACTAAGTTTCTGGTTAGGAGTAGGGCTTCCTCCCCTCCCCCTTGCTTACCCGTGCAGCCATAGTTGTAGATGTTAAAGGTCAGCGTGTCCATAATGTTCTTCAGCCTCTTTATGAGGATGGAGTCAGGCAGGGACTTCTTCAGTGACAGCCCGAAGACCTCCAGGAAGGCAATGAGGGAGTACTGGTACATGGAGTTGACGAGCGCCATCTCCGACAGCACGAAGAACAGGATGGCGCCCCGCCGCGCTGCTGGCCTGTAACCATCCCGAAGTCTGTCGATGTCCAGGGCTGTCTTCTCTGCCAGCTTCAGCTTCTCTGACACCTGCAGAAAGACCTCAGTCACCATGGAAACAGGGAGGTGACGACAGCCTGGAAGGCCTGGAGTGGGAGAAGGTGGATGGAGTGTGGGGCACAGAAGGAAGTGCTCCCTGGAGTTGACAGTCACCAGGCTTTGCAGGGACCTTGAACTTGAGCTGGAGGGGACATCAGGCCATGTCCTTCCAGGCAGAGACTGGAAGAAGATGAAGTCAACTAACATAGGCCTCAGCATATAAATGAATAGATGTGGATGCTATATGAGAGTTTTGGATCCTGGATCCAGCCTCACCTGAAGCCATCGCTACACCTCTCTGCTTTTGAGCTGATTATTTCCCTTTCTATTTAGAGTAGAAAAGTCTGGGATTTCCATGACTCTCAATTTGAGAAGATTACCCAGCTACATAGGAGTGCTCCACCCTCTCCCAACACAGCCCCATATTAAGTGCCCCTTTCTTATTTTGTTAAAATTTATTTTACGTATATAAGTATATGTACGTACATGCACCACACACAAGCCTGGTGCCTGAGGAGGCAATGAGAGGGCATCTAATCCACTGGAACTGGAGTTATAGAGGGTTATGGAGCCACCATGTGGTTGCTGGGAACTGAACCCTGGTCCTCTGGAAGAGCTGTTAATGCTCTTAACCACTCAACCATCTCTCCAGCCCCAAGGTGGTAAGAAGAGGTAAGAAGAGGTGAAAGAAAGTTCCTGCCTGATGCTTCTCTCCCTGCCCAAGCCTGTGAGCCCCTAAGACCACTGGGATGGAGCTAGAAGGTGACAGGGCCCCTCCCACATGTATGGCGGTGCCCACCTCCGTAGCTTTGGACTTTGTCTCTTCCAGGGTATGCACCAGCTCCACATTGTCTAGCATGTTCCCTGTGGATGTGGCCAGCTCCCGCAGCAGTGAGTCCTCCAGGTCCTTTAGCAGGTTTTTGTTCTCACTCGTCTCCTGGATGAGGTGCTCCCTCTGCTCCTCTAGCTCCCGCCTCTCGTAGGCCACCAGCACACTCAGTAGCTGGTCCTCCAGGCCCTTCAGCGTGACTGAGAGAACAAAGAGCCCTCACTGTCCATCCTGGAGTCCAGGCTAGGCATACCTGCAGCTCACAGCCTTCTGGGGAGAGGGTCGCCCACACATTAAGAACCAACCATCAAAGACAACTTCCAGGGAAAGACCAGAGCCACCAGGTGACAAGGTGTGCAAGAAGCCTTACTCTCCAGGTGGGGCCCTGGACATTTGCAGCCAGATCTGTCCCTTCTTACCAGTGTAGTTGATGACCATGGCCTTCCCAAACACTGATGGGGAGTATCTCGGATTGGCCAGCTTGGTGTTGAGATACAGCCGGAAGTTGGAGTCATAGTCAACCTCCTTGTCCCCCAGGATGATGAACTGGCGGCCTTGGGAAGTCTTGATGTTCTTCTCCAGGACACTGTCAATCACAGGGTCGATGTACTCATCCACATCATGGAACAGAAAAGGGGTCCCGTATTTTATCGACATCTCCAGCTGCTTGAGGAAGTCAGGGTCGTTGAAGGAGGCGACCTGCGGCAGGGAGGCAGGAGCTGGGGTGAGCCATGCCTAGTGAGCCTCCAGAATGCCAAGGGAGAGCATACACCAGGAAGTTCAGAAGCCAGAGGTGACTAGGAGAGTCAAGAGGGAAGCAAGCACAGGACAAAACTGCAAACCACTAATCTGTTGGTTCAGCAAAAGCTGGAGTCCCAGAAATCCTCCTCTTGGGTGTGTGCCCTGGAGGACCGTGAATGTGAACACAGACAGGTCTGATGAGGTGGCTCAGTGGGTAACGCACTTGCCCTGCAAGCCGGAGTTCAGTCCCTAGAATTCACATGGTAGGTGGACAACTCCACAAAGTTGTCCTCTGACTGCCACCTCTATGACCCCTACACACAAACATACACAAAAAAGAAGTGTGTATACAGATGCTCACAGCAGCACCATAAAGTGGAAACAATCCAGCTGTTCTTCAACTGATGATGGGTCAACAAAATGTGGCAATGTCCGCACAAAAGAATATTACACAGCTGTAAAGAGGAACAAAGCACCCACACCTGCCACAACATGGTTGAACCCCTACAACATAAAAGACTAAATACTGTATGGTTCTAGCCATAGGAGACACCTCCAAACTAGGCAAAACTATGTGGACAGAAAATATATAAGCAGCTTCCAGTGGCTGGGGGGCAGCTACAAGAAAAACATCGTTGTTCTTGGTAGGGGTAGGGATGGGGCACTAAAAATATTCTACACTGACTCTGTTACAGGACTCTGCAAATATGCTAAAAAGCCACAGACATTTCTGTTTTGAATGAGTGAGAGACTGCTAAGTGAGTCACAGTCCAATAAAGTTGGCACCTCCACCCCCTTCCCCACCAGTTCCAACCCCCATCCAAGCTCCAACCTCCCCTCCCCGCCCCTCCACACACACCACTGAGCATCTTGGGCCACCAAGCCCTGTCCTGGGCAGAAATAAATAAAGACAGAAGACATGATCTTTATCATAAGATGTTCTCATCCTGAACCCCTAAAGCAGGAGGTGGGAGAGGAAGGGGAAGGGGCTCTTTAGTCCTTGGTGGGGTTTAGGGTGGGGCCGCACCCTTAGGTTGTTCCTCTCCTCCTTTCTCTTGATCCAGTTGAGGGCCTGCTGCTGGGGGTCGATGCAGAGTGGGAAGCGGCTGGCCCTGGTGGTAAGGATGCCATTCTGAACTGAAAGCTCATCGGGTGGAAGGCCCTGGAAACCCCACCTGGAAGGAAGGACAACCACAGAGAGATGGCCTCCCCGCAAGTTGTAAGCCCAAGGCTGGAGGTCAGTGGGGTCAGCCTTCTAGAACAATCTGGGACCTTGCTCAGAGTTGGCTATGCTTCCTAGGCCTGCAGCCCACTCCCACCCCCGGGTGACAACCACACAGACCCCTCTGGGATCAGTGAATACCTGCTGATCTCCACGTCATCTGTGAGGAGGTTCTCCAGCCGGAAAGGCTGGCTCAGGGGGATGTCTCGTTCCAGGATGTCATTCAGCCACACATTGTTGACCATCTCATCCCGAAACTCCCAGGTGAAGGCACCCTCGTAGCTCAAGAAGGCTGCGCAGAGCAGGCAGTCGCCCAGCAGCTTCACCCGCCGGTGCATTAGCTCATCGAGGTCATTGAGCCACCTGCCCGAGACCAGGAAGCCACACTGAGTAGATCCCATCTGGCCATGACCAATGGGAACCGGCTGCAGACTCTTTAGTCCTTTGGAACATGTGCGGAGTTTGAATAGATTATGGGTTCCTTCGTTAGATGGGTAATGTCTCTCTCACCTGACGTTTTCTGATCCCAGACCAGAGATGAGCTTGTCAGCTGCAATCAGCCGCCTCTCCATGATCTCTGCCTCCTCCTGCAGCTTCTGCTTCTCTAGGATGGCGGCCTCATACTTGGCCCCCAGAGCCTCCAGCTCCTTCTGGATCGCCGACAACTCATTCTGGATCCGTTCTAGCTCCCGTTTGGTTAGGTAGAAATTCCGCTCCAGCCTGGCCACCTGTGTGAAGATAGAAAGCAGAAGGATGGTGGAAGGCCCACCATCTCCTCCTCCTTCAGTGATTCTTTTTTTTTTTTTTTTTTCAAGACAGGGTTTCCCTGTGTAGCTTTGGAGGCTGTCCTGGAACTAGCTCTTGTAGACCAAGCTGGGCTTGAACTCACAGAGATCCACCCACCCCTGTCTCCCAAGTACTGGAATTAAAGGCATGTGTCACCACTGCCCAGCCCTTCTTAACCTTCCTAATGCTATGACCCTTTAATACAGTTCCTCATGCTGTGGTGACCCCAACCATAAAATTATTTTTGTTGCTACTTCATAACTGTAATTTCATTACTGTTATGAATCATTATGTAAATATTTGTGTTTTCTGATGGTGTAAGGTGACCCCTGTGAAAGGGTCCTTTGATCCTCAATGGGGTCGGGACCCACAGGTTGAGACCCACTGACCCACACACCAAGTTGGTGGGCAGACAGCAAAGGGTCTCATTCCCGTAGGTGTTCATAATGTGCTCCTGTACACTGTGAGGCCACCATCTGCTACATCAAGACACATGGCTGTGTGTGTGTGCAAGCATGCATGTGTGTGTTCATGTGTGTGCATGTGTGTGTAAAACAGTATGTGCAGGTAAATGCACCCAAGCCAGCAGCTGACATCGGGTAGCCCATTCTATTGCTGTCTGCCATATTACCTTGAGACTGGGGTCTCTCACTGGACCCGGAGCTCACTGTTTTCCAGCCAGTATGGAGGCCAGCAATCATGAGCAATCCTTCTCTGTCCACCCGCAGTGAGTGTGTTTGTGTGTAGGGGGCAGGTCATAGAAGTACATGACCAACCTAGCCTTTTACATAGGTGCTGGGGATCTGAACTCAGGTCCTCAGGCTCACACAGCAAGAACTCTTGCCACTTGAGCTGTTTCCCCAGTGCAGTGCATGGTTTCTCTTCTCACCCATTCTCAGCTTTAAGAGCTCTCATCATCATGTTAGAAAAAAACAAAACACCTCCCCTAAGACAGCAGCATCTCCGGTCGTGTGTCCTGAAGTCACAGAAAGGCGGCTCAGTGACTCTTAGTAAAAAAATTTCCAGGGAATGTCTTGAAGATAATTCATGTTTTAAGGCTTCAGATTCTAATGTGAATCCAGAAAAGGGGATCTATCTACCAGTTCACAAGTTTCTTCAACCCAGTTGTTCCCTATGGGGTTGGCCCTGCCCACAAAGGGGGCACATGACAATGACTGGGAATACTTCCAGTCTGGCACATAGTAGGCAGAGACAGGGACACTAGTAAATATTCTACAATTGACAGAAGGTCCCTGACAGGAGGGAGAAGCCAACAGAGCCCAGGCTAAAGAGCCACCACAGCTTGGAGTGTGGCTGTAACCATCTGTACACTGCACAAGGTCTCATCCTGTCTGTCTGCACGCTGTGTGAGTGAGAGCAGTGGCAGTCTCCTCAGACTTTTGTGGTTTCCAGTCAGGACCTGCTGGAATTTTCCAGCAGCATTATGTACACTTGAACTCTGATCCCAGGATGGACTCAGGGTAGTGAGACGTTGGCTCACCTTTTCTCTTTTGGGCTTGATCTCCCGGAACACGTCACAGTACCCCATGACGGCCTCCACGAACTTCAACATCCCCAGCCCCGCCTTGCTCACGGCCTCCATTTCTTCAATTGTGGTGTTAAGATTTTTCAGGAGGACTAGAGGTCAAACACAATGACTGTCAACCTCCCTCTCAGGGCACATAAAACTGGAGACACGTTGCCTATGGACAGGGCAAGTGTCACAACTACCCACTCTTCAGGGAGTTTCTCAAGTGTGGAGTTAAAGATGGATATGAAGGCTAAAACCATTGCCACCTGGGACTCCGTGTGACCTCGAACGACCCAGAGACCACACTGGACACCCTCCAAGCTCTGGGGACCGGGAGCACTCAGGGGGCTCACACAAGCAGCTGACTGGGACTCAGAAGCTATGGGTGGGTCCCTACCATCACCCCAGCAAGGTCACAGAGGTGGAACCAGCCCAATGGTCTCCAGGTGAAGGGGAACGTGGCTTTCATATTTCATTAGTGTCTGCTTTCTTTTCAAAAACCATTCTCTGTCTTGTGCGGCATATGTGCACACGCTGTGTGTGTGTGTGTGTGTGTGTGTGTGTGTGTGTGTGTGTGTGTGTGTGATTTACACACACATGCCATGGCACACATGTCAAGTGAGGTCAGTTCTCTTTGTGGAAGTCTACTTTCTGGGGATCTAATTCAGATCACCAGGCACTATGAATAAATACCTTTATCTGCTGAAGCACCCCAACCCCCGCCAGGGGTAAGGCTGTGCACAGCTGTGACAATGTGGTCTATGAGGACATCACTCCTCCTGGCAGAGCCCTGGGCAGTGCCAGGAGTCAGCTGGCAGGGAACTTGAGCATTCTCTGGCCAAAGACATCCTGCCAACTGCAGGTAGCACTGACCTTCCCCTGCCTGGTCCCCAGGTGTGTACAGGGGTATAACATTGGCAAGAGGCACAAAGGGAAAGCGCTAAGCCACACAATGGGCAAAGGCAGAGCCTGGTTTCTATCAATTCCTCTTTCCTGCCAGGGAGAGCCAGACTCCCTGCTGAGCCAACTGCTTGTGGGCCAGCAGCTGCCTCTGTCCCTGAATCACCAATGGGAGCTGGATAGCCAGCCTGCTGCTCCATCTACAGGCCTATGGTGACCCTCCCAGTCCCCACCCCCACACCTTTGATATTCTTCACTTGTCCCTGGTTGATAGAGTCGAAGTCCATCTCCATCAGGGATCTCAGGAAGTTGGGGTCAGACATCATGCCCTTAGCGGTTTTCCAGTTCAGCTCCTTGTAGCCTTTTATGATAAGAATGCATTCACAGACTGTCTGCACTTGCTTTGGGGGCTTTGCGAATGACCTGGGGGACAGGAGTGCCCATGTTCAGTATAAGAAAGGCCAGGGCCAACCAGAATCCTTGAGAAAAGATGGGGCAGGCAGTAGGGTTCTCTGGAGGTGACTGCCTGGGAATAGAGGATGCCAAGTCCCTAAAGGAAGGAAGGTGGCCCAGAAAGGGTCTCATTTGCTAGCCCCACACTGGGCCCCTGGTAGACAGCAGAGAACAGGAACATGGTGGCAGCCATTAAAATCCCCAAACCAAAGTGCCCAGGTCATCATCAAAGCCAGACAGTTGGAGCTGTCAGCGCTGGGCAAAACCCCACCCCAGGTCCTAAAGCCAGCATAAGCCCCATAGACAGGAGCAGAGCTGGGAGTGAGGCCAACACTAGGCCAGCTTGAGGTTCAGTGGGTTCAGAACTGGTCCTGGGTGACCACAGAAAGCCTTGGCTTTGCAGGACATTAGACACTGATGATGGTAGGCAACAAGACATGTCTGTCCAGAAGGCCAGGAAAAAGAAAGCCCATGGGTCTACATGGCAGACATGGCCTGTTGGGTCCTAAGCCATGGGCAAGTTAGGGACCAGCCAGGGGAAATTGTTTCTGTCTATAAAGGAGGAGTGTAGAGCCAGAAGCCTCCAGCTCCTGTGAGTCCATGAAAGTAATGCACTCCAAGTCATGATCCAAGATTTAATTTACCCAGAACCCTCTGTTTTCCCAGAATGCCTCGCCTACAGTGACCATGGGAACTGAAGAAAATATCTACAGAGACAGCCCCTTGGACCTGATAGTGACCTCTTAGCAAGTTTTGGTGGCCCAGTGTTCTCCCCCTCCCCCACCACCAGGTTTAGTCCCTCTTCCCTGATTAGCTTTTTTTTTTTTTTTTTTTTTTTTAAATCCCTGCTGACATTCTATAAATCTGGGCTGCAGAGCATAGGTTGCAATAGAATTCAACATAGGAGGAGGAACACTGTCCACTGTTTCACAGGACCTGGGTTTGGTTCTTAGCATCCACATGGTGGCTCACAACCATCCTCCTGGTGGAACCTGGACTCCCTGAGCAGGTTTGCTTGGCCTAGGGAGCCTCTCTTTACTATCTGTAGATAGAGGTGAGCACAAAGCCAGCCCTGAGTGAGCTCTAGGGGTGCAGGTTGGAGCAAAGGTGGTCTTGGCCTAGGGAGCCTCTCTTTACTATCTGTAGATAGAGGTGAGCACAAGGCCAGCCCTGAGTGAGCTCTAGGGTTGCAGGTGGGAGCAAAGGTGGGAGCAAAGGTGGTAGCAGGTACCTGATTTCAGTCACATCTGACTTGTCCAGCTTCTGCAGCTCCAACTTGGCAGCCTCCAGGATGGGCATGACCTCAGCCAGAGCTGTCTCGGCTTCAGCCTTCTCTACAGCGATGATCTTGTTCTGTTCTTCTATCTCCATAGCTTTCTCCTCTGCCAGCTTCTTCTTCTCCTCCGCTGCAGGGGGGGAGGGGCTGGTGAGATGTGGGCACACTGCAGAGGGAACCTCAAAGCCAGGCATGGTCATCAGAGAGAGTGGCCATGGGGCTCTGGTCAATGTGATGGCCACAGGTGCTCACACAGAGAGGACTCTATGTGGCATTTCCTGCTGGGTACTACCCTCTGGGTCCCATGTCAGCCCCATCTGCCTAGGTACTGCTGGCCAAGACCTAGGGTGATCCTGTGACTTTGGATGCCTGAGATGGATCTGTTTCACTCTTTCTTTCTCCCACTGTCCTCATTCTTTCTCTGTCCTAAAAATAAAACTTTCTATAATGTTTATTTGTGCTCGCTTGCCACAGAGTCAGTTCTCTCCTACAGTGTGGAGCCCAGGATCAAACTCAGGTCACCAGGACTGGCAGCAAGCCTTTTCCCACTGAGCCACCACACTGGCCCTGTCTTTTCTTTCTCCCTCCAGCTCCCACCCCAACCCCTGCTTCTCAAACCCCCACTCTACACTTTTTTTTTTAATGCTCATTCAGGTCCAGCCCTAGAGATGACCCATCTAGGGAGTACAGCCCCTCTGTCTTTCTTCCTCTCACTTTCTCTCTCTGCCTGGTGACACTGCTCACATGTGGCCTGATGTCACTTTGTCACTGTCTGGTTGCCTCTGCATCGTGGGTACTTCCCATAGCTAGAGCTCAGAGGTGATGGTGACACAGGGCTCAGGGAGTGCAAGGGGGCAGGCAGAGGCCCCCAGGCTCACAGCCAGTGGAGCCTCAAACTGAGACCTTATTGGAAATGATGTCATTAGCAAAAATGAGGTCACACTGGCTTGGACACAGATCTGTGCCAGTATCTGGGATCTTAATGAGAAGTCATGCCTCCCACTGAATTATTACAGTGCCCCCCATGAATAGGCAAAAATACTAAAAATAACAAAATGTTTAGAAATTAAACAAACATGGAGACACTCAGGGTGGGTGTCCTGTGGCAGTGATGGGTCTGTGCTTTAAGGCTTGCTAATGGCTGCCCCACAGCACAGTGGTCTCTCAGCAGTCTTGAGGAGCTCCAGACCCTCAGGTGCAGACTGGCCCAGGGCAGGTGGCCCATGCCAGGCACTCACCTATGGCTGTGTTGGTGGCGATTTCCTCCAGCAGAGTCTCGCAGGCAGCTGACTTCTCGGCCAGGACAATCTTCTGCTCTGCCAACTTCTGGTTGAGCTCGTCTAGCTGGATGGTGGCCTCCTTTAGCTTGTCCAGCCCACCCTCCAGACGCTTGCACTGTGCTGGGGGCACACGACACATGGTCAGTGGTCTAGGCTCCAGGGCAGGACCTTGTATTAGCCTTGTTGGAACCCATCCAAGGAGAGGAAAAACAACTCACTTCTACAAGAAGGCACACCCACTTTAGCTTTCAGACTACATGCATGGCATCTACTAGCATGAAGAGACTGCTAAATGCGGTTGTCTTTTTTGTTTTTGTTTTGAGACACGGTTTCTCTGTGTACGCCTGGCTATCCTGGAACTCACTCTGTAGACCAGGATGACCTCAAACTCACAGAGATCTGCCTGCCTCTGCCTCCAAAGTGCTGGGATTAAAGGTGTGTCCCACCAACACCCAACTAACAGTGCATCTCTTAACCAGCTACCAGAGACAGTCCTTCATTAAAAAGCCCTTTCTAGCAGCGCACACTGGAGACCAGGGAACACCAAGGCAAAGAAAACAGACCTGCAAACACAGGGCCACACAGAACTAAGTGTGCTGTGTTTTACCCACAGGGATGAACCGCCCCCAAATGCGAAACCCAAATCTGCTCTATTTTGCCCCAATCATAAGGGTGCCAGGTCTTGCAGAGATGAGCCTTACTCCTGAACCCTGGTCACACAGTAGTGCCCCACCCACCCGTATGCCACACCTACCCCACCCCACCCCACCCCACCCTGGCCCCTGCTCACCTATGTTGTACTGGGTTTTCTCATCTAACAGTTTGGAGTACGTGTTGATAAAGTCTAGGTAGTTCTTGGGCGTCACGTAGTTGCTACGCCTCAGCTTCTGCTGGAACTGCTTACTGAACTCACCCACCGACTGGTGGACCATAACCACGTGCTCCACAAGGTCTTCGATTTTCTCTGCAGGAATCATGGCGTTACCTCCTGGACAGGAAGGAATGGAGAAAGTGGGGGGTAGCAACAAGGAAAAGGAGGACTGGGGGCAGCTCAATGGTGAGCACCTGCCTAGCATATGAGTCTCTGGGGACAGGCCCCACACTGCAGAAAACAAACAGGTCCCCAAAATGTGAAATACTGACCCAAAGATCCAAGAAATCCACTCCTATATCTGTGCCTGGAAGAACAGGACACCCAGCCTCCAACAGGTCTGTGAATGCCAATGTTCCATAGTAGGAGAGTGGTAAGGAGAAAAGACCAGAGTCCATTAACAATGTGGCATGCCCACACAGTGGAGTACTACTCAGCCATGAAAAGGACCAAGGGGCTGATGTGGGTTACACTATAAGTGACCCTCCAGAAACACTATACAAAAAGAAAGAAACTGGACGCAAAGAAGCAATGTGCCTGGGTCCCCTTACATGAGATACATAGACAGGGAAGATTCGCAGAGTTGGGGGAGGAGGGAAGAATCCGTGTTCAGATGGGTGCAGAACTTCAGTTTAGGATGATGGAAAGTTCTGGAAACAGATGACGGTAGTGGTCACATGACACTATGAATGTAATTGATGTTTCAAGTACACTCAAGATGGACAGAACAGGACTGTTTACAGTAGACATATTTTCAGTAAATAAAGTGATTTCATCAAAAATTTAATTAAAAAAAGGAAATGAGCAGCTATTGCTTGTGGCAACTTCTGGGACCTGTGATCTCTCCATGGTGATTTCCCTAACACAGATGCCAACCCTCCTGCCATGGGAGACCCACCTTCTGCCTTTCCCCAGGGCTCAAACACCATTAGGAGAAGCTGGGGCTTCAGGAGTGGGGCCTACAACTGACCTGACTGATTCCCAAGCCCAGCATGAGGGTCCCACCCATGGCGGCTTGGTGGGTTCACTCAGCCATTTTGTGATGGACCCCAGTGTCCAGCACACATGGGCAGAAGGGGGGGCCTTCCTGGGAATCTACTGGAATGATTGGTGCTCTCTCCCAAAGCCAAGATCTTGTCACTTGATGACTTGGAATGCAACAGCCTCAAGCAGGATTTGAAAGACGGAAGATTGGACCAATCAGCCCAGGTTCTGCAGATCTGCCTTTGAGTCAGACTACATATAGCATGCTCTGCCCACAGGCATCCAGCTTTGGAACATGGTCAGTTCAACTTCAGGGAACATGTTCTAAGGGAAAAGAACTGTCAATGAATTTTGGGCGGCTTTGGGCACAGAACCGAAACACCGCATGCTGGAAAGATATAGGAATGACTTACACACCATGGAAGCTAGCATGCACAGCCACTGTGAAGCTGGCAGCCACAGACCCACAGGGCAAGTGTGGCCCACCGCTTGTTTTTTTGTGAATAAAGTTTTATTGTAAACACAGTCACAAACATTTACATGTGGTCCCAGATGGCTCTCAAAGCACATTGTCAGAATTCAGCAGCTGTGACAGAAGCAGAGATTGCCACATGGACCTTCACAAAGGCAGCCTGCCAGAATAAGTCCCAACCCCACAACAAATGTTTTCTTGGCTTCCTTCCCAGAACAGCATTATAACTGAAGTTATGGTTTTGGAAGTTTGTGTAGAAGGACTGTTTCCTTATTGAGTTTGTTAGGTGCACACTTGTAAAGTTGGAATTATTTACAAAGCCACCTAGTGACATTGGTCATAAACCCTTTCAAGTTAGATCTAGAGGAAAAAAGAAAAATCATGCTGGCACCACCATGGTAGTGGCCTTTTTTCCCCCCTGCAGATCCTGCACCATCTCTATGGCAAGGATGTGACCATGTAGCTGTGGCATAGGAGGGGCCAAAGTCAGAATGTCCATGGAATGTGGGTCAATAAAAATTTATTCATCAAAACAATCAGGGGGCCACATTTGGCAGTGGGCCATTGTTCTTTTTCTTTTTTAATTGTTTGCCTTTTAAGCTACAGTTATCCTATTCAGCAACTATAACTCTGCCACTACCAGCAGCGGCAGGCTGCAAGAGCCAAACCCTGAGGGAATTCTGTTCCCTCACGCACTGATTCTTTCAAAGCTACTAAGAAAGCTTATTTAAATCTCTGCCCCACTAAAGAACTCAAGATTCAAAGGTTGAGGGAGAATCCTGTTTCCCAGAGAGGCTGAATAGCAAGCAGCTCACCTCCTCGAATCTCCCAAGAAGTCCTCGTGCGGGTTTTTCTCTTGCCCCTCCTTATAAACCCTTCTCCACCTGGCTTCTCCTTACAACTTCCTGTCAGCTAGTTGCTGACCCACCTCCTGACCGCAGGCGAATTTTATTTAATCAAACACATCTTTGCATCACTAAGCAAATGTTACAGAGCATAAACAAAAGTAACACACCTTAAAATAATATTCTACAACAGGTCATGCCTTGCAGACTCCCGATTCCTTTGGACTAGAGCAAAATGTAACCCCAAGCTACACTAACAATACAAAGCTATTCTTTGCCATAGGGTATCTATGGTGAAGGAATCTACTGGGTCAAGATTCAGTCAGAAAAGTGAACAGCTTCTTTATGAGATCAAGCTGTCCCTGCAACAGTGGCAGCTTACCTAAAAATGACTTGGCAACTGCGTGCAGGGCCTGGGATGGCCAGGGCATGAACCAGTCGATTCCAGTGTTGTTGACTAGGCCTTAAAGAGAGGCAAAAAGAGGACAATTATGCAACCCAGACTTACTCCAGCGCATACGTGCACAGTCTTTAGTATCCACTAGAGTGGTGGCTCAGCTGTGCACATTCAAGTGTCTCAGCATCTCGTCACTGTGACCCCGGGAGAGAGAAGAGGGGGCACCTTCCCCACTTCATGCACCCTGCAGCCGGGGAACGTGTGCACACTCTCCTGCCAGGATGATGCCAGCCATGCCTACTGGAGATTGAGATGGACCAGGGAAGTGGGCCTACGGTGCAGGGCCAACTTTCAACTCAAGTACTACATCCTGTATGGCCCTGCTGATGTGGCAGGTCCCCAGAGCACACACACTATACCGCAGTAGTGGTGAAGGATTTACAGGCTTAGCTCAAAGGTACCTGGGAAATTCCTGCACCGAGTCCTCAGGGTGTCTCCCACTGGTGACATGCCCAGGACAATGTGTAGGTTGTTGGCACTCTTATTCACGAAATATTGCCACACAGACTCCTTGGCCGGGCCCATGCCGTTCTTCAAGGCTTCCTGCCCAATCTGACTGAGGATACCGTCCTTTTCTTCCTCAGGGAAGAGCGCAGGGACGATCCCTGCCAGACACAAATGTGGAGGGAACTGGCTTTCAGGTTTCTGAGTTCTGACCTCCTTGGGTGTAAAGAAGGTGATGGAGCAAGGGATAATGGGGAGAGAAGCAGGGGCCAGCAGAAGACCAGGGCTAGGGTCCAGGCCTCCATTTTTATCTGTATGCAATAACTCTGCCTCCTTGTTCAATAAAACACTGAGCTTCCCAGACCACCAAATTCCAGATTCCTTTCTTCACCACCCCTAGTCAAGGTTCTGGGATGTAAGCTGTATCAGAACCAGCACTCCTACCTCACCCTCCTGGGTTCTGGAAGTACACACATGCACTGCTATGCCCAGCATAGGAATGTGTGTTTACCCCTAGTACTGGGGATCGAACCCAGGGCCTCACACATTCTAGTCAAGCACTGTACCACTGAGTTACATCCCCAGCCACACCTAAATCAGGCCCATGAAAGTACCACACTCCTGCCTTGATGTCTCTTCCCTTCAGCACAGGGGACTCCCTGCATGTATTTTTCCAGCAGTGGCCTGGCCTCTCTACCCAATGTGGGAGCATGAATGATGGCCTCCAAAGACACCTGACCCCACCATAGGACCTGCAAGCATGTTTCCTTATGCTCCCCGCCAAATGGGACTGCGCTTTGCAGTTGGGACAAGGCAGAGGACCCAGGCAGCCTGGTGTTGTCACAGGAAGGGATGAAGAGCAGCGGTTGGATGAGGGGAACAAAGCAGAGAGTAGGGTGGTATGAGCCAAGGAACCCTGAGCTATGGCAGTCTCTGCAAGCCAGATAGGATGAGTTTGTACATCTTGGACCTGTTGATGCCATGGTGTTGCCTCCAAAGCCCTGCAGACCCACTGGGATGTTGGAATGAACTCAGCTTTTGAGCAGCTTGATGAAGAGCCACAGGAAAAAAGACACCTGCTTCCAAGTGCTGCTTCGTGGGGCTCCTCCCCTCATCTCACTATTGCAGTGGCTGTCCCTGCGTGTCTCTGTGTGTGCTTCGTGGGGCTCCTCCCCTCATCTCACTATTGCAGTGGCTGTCCCTGCGTGTCTCTGTGTGTGCTTTGGTGCCCACCCTCCACTGCACATCTCAGTCTCTGAACTTCAAGGACAACAGAGGCCATGGGCATCATATTCCTTGTAAAACCTGAGGGGTCTCATTGCCACTGTGGGATAAGCCCACAGTGTTTCACAGAGCGGAGACACACATGGCTTCAAGCTCAGGGACTAACAGGTCATCCTGGTTACAAGGAGGAGTAAAGTAACCTATACACCCACAGGAGGGGAGGAGAGGAGGGCTGGCACTCAGCTGGGAACTCCAGGGTCTGGTGTGACAACAAGGATTGTCAAGTTTCTCTCTGACTCTGGTGGAGGGGTAGGACAGGACATTCCTGCTGGCAGGGGTGGGGCAGTACCTGAGGTCAGCATGTTGTTGATGAGTTCCAGGAAGCCCTCCTCAGCCACGTGGGCGTCCGTAAACAGAAAGATCATCATCTTGTTCTCCAGCCCCAGCTTCAAGTACAGGTTCTTCAGGTCCTCCCGGAAGTTAGACTCAGAGTAGCCCCGGCTTAGCAGGATCTCAAACACCTGGGGGAACAGGTGGGCAGCACCCACCAAGGCAAGGGAAGGCTCTGAGCACGTCAGGAGAATGTGTGGGTTTGCATGCCCCAAAACATTACATCCCCTGAGGGGCACAAGCATGGAAGCTGGATGATTGACAAGGGTCCTGTGTGGGCTGCACATGTAAGCGTAAAGGTGTGTGCCCCTATGTGGAAAAAGCAAGGCAAGGAAGGGACTTGACCACCTGGGAGTCACAGGGAGGGAAAGCAGGGTACTTGCAGTAGTAGCAAAAGCTGGTGATGGTCACACAGATCTGAGACTGGACCAAAAGCACCCTATGTATGTACACTTAAAATGATGAGCTGTGCCATCTAGCTCTATAAAGTATTTTTAGGGCTGGGGAGATGGCTCAGTGGACTGCTCTTCCAGAGGACCTGGGTTCAATTCCCAAGCACCCACATGGTGGCTCACAACAGTCTGTAACTCCAGTTCTAGGGGACCTGACATCCTCACACAGACATACGTGCAGGCAAAACACCGATGTACAAAAAGTAAAAATAAAATTATTGCCAGGCAGTGGTGGTGCACACCTTTAATCCCAGCACTCAAGAGGCAAAGGCAGCTAGATCTCTGTGGGTTTGAGGCCAGCCTGGTCTACAGAGAGAGTTCCAGCACAGGCTGTGTCTGTAAGTGAACCACATCCACACAGGTGGCTATAGGAACCACAGGAGGGCACTGGATCCCCTGCAGCTGGAATTACAGGAAGCTATGAGTTTCAGGTGTGACAGTCAGCAATGCCTAAGCCCCACCCCCTGTGCTCCCACAGTTCTAAATTCACAGGGGCAGCCTGTGTCTGACTTTTGAGCTTGAGTTCTCAAGCCACTGCAGGTTAGACGCTTTGTAAACTCAGGCAAATGGGACAAAAACAGAAAGGTCGTACTCTCAACTCTTTAAACAGGATGCCCTCACCTCGTAGCCTGCAGTGAAAGCTGCCAGCCTGGACAAGGACTGCTTCCCGGAGCCACCCACACCCACCAGCAGGGCATGGCCTCGGTCCATTCGGATGATGCGGTGCACACGGGTCAGGTGCTCCAGCGCATCGTCAAACAGCACCAGGTTCATCTTGGTGTTGATTTCGTTGTACTCCTCGAGGATTTCCTGAGTGGAGAGGATCCATAAGCCCACCACATTTTAAGAGGCAGGCTCTCTCCTTCACATCAGGAAAGATGAAGTTTGGAGAGAGCTGTCTTTTTCCTTAGCATCTATGGCTGAGGAAGTAATCCAATCATTTGGGCACATGGGGATGGAGACTTAATTTCTGACATCAAGATTGCAGTCAGCTGGTGTGGTGGAGGGAGATGCTGCCCTTCCCAGGACCTAGGTGCAGGTGGCTCACAAATGCCTGTAACTCCAGTTCTAGGGAGTCTGACGCCCTCTTTTGGCCTCTATGGGCAACTATACTCACAAACATGCATGCATGCATGCACTTTCACACACACACACACACACACACCTAAAAATAAAGTAAATCTCCGTTCTGCTGGGTGTCAACCTGCTAGAGTGAGCTGCAGCCCAGTACAGACAAGAGAGCTACTGGGGCCACCAAACACACCCCAAATGCTGGGTGTGCAATATCTTGTATGGACAGAGCAGGAGACAGGCCGTCCGCACCTGGAACAGTGCCTTGGCAGCCTCATAGTCCTGGATGTCTTCATAAATGCGTGGTTCCTCCTCATGCAGGGCCATCCGGAAGTCCCCAAACAGAATGGGGTCTCTCATCACCACCTCGAAGTCATCCTCAAAATGCTCCTTCACCAGGTTCCCTATGTGGTCTTGCACCTTGAAACAGAAGTGGGTTAAGGCCCCAGACATGTCCACAGTTCCATACATTTGGCAGGAAGAGAGAACTCATTATCAGTGGGATAATTAGCCTAGACCTTCCCTAGCAACACCTATCCTGCTGTGAGATTCCTGTATAAACAATATATTGGTTTCTTTTGGGTTGTTTGTTTGTTTGGCTTTTTTTCTTTTAAACCCTCTCTTTGGTTTGTTTGCTTGTTTGTTTTAATTACATTTTCTTATTTATTTGGGCTTAGGGGGCACACATAGAGGGCAGAAGATAATTTCTAGGAGTCAGTTCTGTCCTTCCACCATTTGGGCCCTGAGATCAGATCATCGGGCTTGGCCGAAAGTGCCTGCTGAACCATCTTTCCGGCCCTGCTGCCATGTGTCTTATTCAGAGTTTAGGTAGGGTTTTCCGCCCATTAAGACGCTTGCATATGCTCACCAGCTGCTTGTCTACTTCATTGATGAGCCGGTCATGGAAAACCCTCAGGCATTCATTTCTCCACACCCTTACCATCTGAGTCACTGTCTGAAACCTACATGAAGGAAGGGCAATGTTGGTGGTCACCAGGTGCCCTGGGGAGGGCTCAGGTGGATGGGGGGGGCACAAGAGTCACATCCCTAAAGACCCTCTATCTCATTCTAGCTGGAAGCTAGCAAATTAAATACAGGGGTCACAAGGTCATCACCCAGGGCTCATCCTACATATGTCAGTCACGCTCACACACACACACCGTCCAAGGCCCGTGTGAACTCAGAGTCTGTCTCAGGACTGCTCCTTTTCCTGACCCTACTTCCAGAACCTTCTCTAGCTCCTGGCAAAGAGCCATCACCCCATTCAAAAGACTAGGAACAAGGAAGACCCCAACTCTAAACCATCCACAGCACTCCAAGGCAGGTCAAGGCCTGTGAAGAGCCCTCTGCTGTTCTTCAGTGTTGCCTGTTCCTGCTGTAAACCCACATAGCTCCGCCCCTCCTGCAGATCCAGAGACTGAAGCAGCCAGGGAAAGATGGGAGTCTGGTGTTCCTGAGACACAGTAAAGAGCCATAACCCTTTCCATGCTGTGTCTGGCGACTCCCAGAGACTCATGTACACATCCTCCACCCAGCTGGAAATGCCGTAGTCACACTAGCCATAGGCTCCATGCAGATCCAGCCACAGAGCTAAGCAGGTGAGGCTGCAAAGCCATCCCACTGGAGGGACCAAGATACCCAACTTCGGGGGCTAAGGAGCATCAGCTGTCACCCTAAGGGTTTATCTGTTTTCTCCATCAACACAATCAAGGATGCCATGTGGTTGACTGACACTTTTTTTTTTTTTTTGACCCATTTGACTCATTGAAAAGTCCTAACCAAAGCCATCAAACCTTTAAGACAGTGGTTCTCAACCCTTCTAATGCTTCGACCCTTTGATACAGTTTCTCATGTTGTGGTGACCCCAACCATAAAAATGATTTTCGCTGCTATTTCATAACTGTAATTTTGCTACTGTTCTGAGTCATGATGTAAATATCTGTGTTTTCCCATGGTCTCGGGCAATCCCTATGAAAGTTTGAAAATGGCTGCTTTAGGGTATGTTTTAGTGAAACAAACAAGCCCCCAAACTCACCGATCTGGATTGGTGAGGACAAGACCGTTGAACACTCTGGAGAGGTCTCGAAGGTTGAAGATGTAATGGAACTTGGAAGGCGTGGGAGGGAGGTCTTGGACAATGTCTTTGTAAAGCATTAATGTGCAGAATGTCAGCTTCTTGCTCACGGCCCCGATGCTCTCATTAAAGTTCTTTAAAAAAAAAATCAAAAAGACCACCATGTCTATCGGTAGAATGGATAAGTGAAATGTGGTATTTTCATGACAGAATAGTATTTGATCAGGAAAAGGAATGAAACACTGACACATGGATTGATCTTGAAAACCTGGTGCTAAATAAGAGAAATCAGACATCAGAGGCCATGTGGCTTCCAGGGATTGGGAGAAAGGGGAGTCTGTAATGGGTACAGGTTTCCTTTGTTTAAAAAAAAAAAAAAAGTTCTATTTACACAGTGCAAATAGTTAGCCAAGACTGAGTGGACCAAATGCTTCTAAATTGAATGGTTAAAATAAAGAATTTTCCATTTTTATGTGTGTGCATGTGTATATGTGTGCGTGTGCGCATGCCGCTCACCATTTGATCCACCCTCTACCTCATCTGTAGGTGAACAGCTTCCGACAAGGCTCACAGTCCTTCCTGCTCCTCACACGGCACCCTCCCCAACTGGCTGAAGCCTTGGAGTGTACAGACCCCACTCTTGAGTAGATAAATCCCACCCAGCCTGTTGTCCTCCAGTTCACACTGTGGGGAAAGCCCAGTTACCGAGGTGTGGCCCTTGAGGATGGAGTAGTAGATCAAGTGCAGAGACTCCTCGGATGGGAAGGGGACATTGAAGACGCTGAACAGCGAGAGGAACCTGGGGTCCACCTCATTGCGGCCCCCTCCTGCCTTCCCCATGGCAGCAATGAAGCCCAGGTCACGGATACTCTTACAGTTGAGCTCTTTCCCACGGTCATATAAGTAGCCCTTTTCCAGCAGCAGCTTCAGCAAGGCGATAGGCTGCTGGGTGCCATACTCATCTACCTGGAAGTTTTGTTTGTTTGTTTTTAGGAAAGAAAAAAGCAGTATTAAAAGTTAGAACTAGGCAAGACTGTGCCAACCTCAAATGCTTACCTCTCCTGTTTCCCCCTAAGCATTCTGGGTTGGCTTCACAGGGCTTCCCAAGTCTATAACTGTCTATTCACACCCGAGGTTTAAAGTCTGTCTCCTTCACTACACTGTGCATTCCATGAAGGCAGAGACTGCTGAGGCTTACACACCTCACAGCACCAGTTTCCTGGGAGGTGTTCAGCAAGTGGAATGGATGGATGGATGATGGATGGATGATGGATGGATGGATGGATGATGGATGGATGGATGGATGGATGGATGGATGGATGGGAGAATGCATTTGTATGTATTTGGATGGGTGAAAATGGATGGATGGAAAAATGGATGGGTGAGTGGATGAATGGGTGAGTGGATAGATGGGTGGTTGATGGATGAATGGGTGGGTGGGTAGATGAATGGGTGAGTGGGTGGGTGGATGGATGGATGGACGGGTGGATTCTGTTGATGGATGGGTGAGTGGGTGGATGGATGGAGAGATGGACAGTGGATGGATGGTATACAGATTCCTTAGCATATGGATGGAAGAATAACAGATGTGGGTCTGTAAATAAATGAAACAGTAGATGACAGGTGACTAGATACATGGAGGGACAATGGATAGATGGTCAGACATGTTGCAGATGTACAGATAGCTGAAAACACTTGCTGCTCTTCCAGAGGATCAGAGTTCTGTTCCCAGCCCCCATGTCAGACAGCTCACAACCGCATGTAACTCCAGCTCCAGGGGATCTGACACCTTCTTTTGGTCTCTTGGGGCACACGTGGCAAATATACACACAGGTACACACCCATAAAAGTAATAAAACTTAAAATTAGTCTTAAATAATAAAAATCTCAAAAAGACACACCCCTGTCCCACCTGTGTAAGCTCTGCCCACCTTTGGCATATTCATGTCGTCCATGAACACCAGCAGGCGCTTCCCCATGGGCGGCCCGTATGTGTCCTTTGTCCGCTTCTCTACACTCGCTTCTAGGTTCCTCTGGATGTCCAGGGATGTGGTTCGTGAGGAGAAGCTGACCATCAGCACGATCTGTAACAGAGAAGAGTGTGGTAAAACAACTGGCTTCCAAACTAACGTTCCAGAACGGCTGCAGGTCCATGCTTCATCATTTTTAAGAGCTAAAGCCAGAGCTGGGTGTGATGGCACACTTGAGAGGCAGAGGCAGAGGCAGGGAGATCTCTGTGAGTTCAAGGTCAGGCCAGCCAGGGTTACACAGTGAAACCCTGTCCCAACAATATACCCTCTTTCCTTTTGCTAGATTGTATGTTGCCACTCATGAGCCTTGGGACAATGCAGGCTGTGGAATGCTGTCCCCAAGGTCACACTAATTTGAAATCAGAGAGGCTGTGATTCCTAACAGGAGACCTTCCCAAGGTTGGACCCACTAACACCCCCCTCATCAAAGTGTGGAGGGCTGGAAAGACCCTGGGCCCTCCTTAAGAAATACAACCAGTTAACTGTTACCCACATGTCTCCTGCTTCAGAAAGTGACCCCACTCATACTCATTCGGTTCACCGAGCTGGACTTGGGTAGACCTTGCTATGTGGGTGATTAGAAATAAGTTCCCAGGAAAAGTCACATGATGATATGTGATAGGGGAAAGTGTTGGTCTCCCTGGGTAGCCTCTCAAAAGGCAACTGTCTGACCTTTAAGAGCCTGGAAAGACGATTTTAACGACATCTGCTGGACCACTCTCTATAGCAGAGGAGTTTTAAACATAAATTGCTTTCAAGGCAATTGCCTGTTAATAAGAATAAGGAGACCAAAGAAAGCATGAACAGCTTCCTCCTGGACCTCACAGGTCTCCTCCCTCCCTCCCTCCCTCTCCCTCTCTCTCTGTCTCTCTCTCTCTCCCTCCCCCTCTCTCTGCCTCCCTCACCTCTCTCTTGTGCCTTTAGAGGAACTATGAGCACACATGTGTGTACATGTGTGTTCACATACTGCATGCACACACCAACGCACACACACAGTTCACACCGATGCTCATATTCAGCCACATACTAGCCACAGCTAGACCACTATGCCACACATATCAGTATCCCCTGCCCAGAGCTGGGGTTCCGTCAGTGAGGTGTTTAAACATCTCAGTTGGTGCCAAAGTTGTTGGTCTGTGGACTGCACTTTGGGAACAGCTGACTTAAAAAAAAATATCCTTCAACCCAGATGCTCATGAGTACATGTGCATAAGTGCTAATGGTTAGCAGCTAATTGGCTGTCTTTGTATGTCTGCTTGTAGCCAATGAGGTCTAGGGGCACGGTTCTAGGAAAGCGATGACACACAGAGAGGTTTCTGAGCATGGGTTCCTCTTGAGGTGTCTGGTTCTAATAGCAATTCTGTGCCCTCTGCCCTGACACCTTTAAAGCTAAATATACCACACTGCATGAGATGAGGGAGGCAGGCAGGCCTGATCCACCCAGAATTCCTTGCAGAGTCTGTCCATGTCCCACTGTAATTATCTCTGTATTGTATAAAACGGTCTTTTGGGCTGCACACCATCCTAGGAGACTCCATTTGACAAACTGCTCTTGACTCCATTTTGAGGGAGGATTTCTATAACTCCTGGGGCACCCAGAAATGTATCCAGGACAGACTGGATAATGACTTATTCCTGGAGGAGAAACACAATGTTTATTGGGGAGAATCAAAACTGTGGGGGCAAAATAATGTCACAAAAACCCGGCCCAGAGACTTAATCAGACACCAGACCAAAGAAAGGGTGAAACTCCCTCTTCTGGACTCCATAAAGTGATGGACACCCAATACTGTGACAGCCTGGCTGCACACCAACCTATCATGTGATACCTCATGTGTATCAAGGGCCAAGGATTCGCTGACTTGGCTCTGTCCCACAGTATTCTACTGCCTGCCAGTCCATCTGTTCACCTGTCTGGACCTAGTCCTGGCCTGCTGTTTCCTGACCCACTTCAGCTTTTTCACCTGGCAGCTAAAAAATATACAGCTTGCCAGGTGGTGGTGGCACACACCTTTAATCCCAGTACTTGTGAGGACTTCAGCTTTTTCACCTGGCAGCTAAAAAATATACAGCTTGCCAGGTGGTAGTGGCACACACCTTTAATCCCAGCACTTGTGAGGAAGAGGCAGGTGGATCTCTGTGAGTTTGAGGCCAGTCTGGCCTACAGAGCGAGTTCCAGGACAGGCTCCAAAGCTACACAGAGAAACCCTGTCTTGAAAAACCAAAGAGCCCACAGCTGTGCTCTCAACCCTGACCCCAGCAGCCCCTTCCAGCTCTGACTGGGTTCATTACCATTGATAAAGACCCTCAGCACACTTCTGAGACCTCTGAGCTCTGTTGTGGCCTCTTGGACTTGTGTCCACTCTGTAATCCACATATAAACATATAAATAGTATGTCTCTGATGTGCTGTAAGAGTTAGCATCAGTCATTAAATAGGAATAAAGAACTTGCATTCACCTTGCCCAGACTACCCAGCTGGGTAGACTTTATGATACATAGCTGCCATTGAAACTGCTAAACCTAGGCAAGGTGGTGGCAGCAGAGCACACCTTTAATCCCAGCACTTGGGAGGCAGAGGCAGGAAGGAGGATCTCTCTGAATTCAAAGCCAGCCTGGTCTACAGATTGAGTTCCAGAACAGCCAGGGCTACACAATAAACCCTGTCTTGAAAAACAAAGAAAGAAAGAAAATGTTATCTGTGTTTCTGGTATAGTGAATTCCTAACACCATTTCACAAGGAACACAGTGGCTTCTGCCTTGTGGTCTATGTTGGATTTCTGCCATGAAGGAAACCAGTTGTCCTTGCATGTCACTAATGTGGATGGAATATGTCTCAGATCACAGGCATTGGACATAATCCCTCATTTCATGTCAGTGAGTTTTGGAGGTTCCCAGGACCTCTGGGGCAATCAGATGGAGAAGGCTCTCAAAAGCATTTCAGACTCCAGGGTTCTAAGGAAGTGGCTTCTCTTCTCTCTTATGGAAGTGGACCTTCTCTGGCAGGCTTGTTCCTTCTCACCGTAAGATGCTTATCCTGAGGCCTGATAAGTTACAAAGAGTAGCCATTTACTTAACTCGGCTCTCCGGGGCCAGGAAGCCCAGGAGCATGGTGCCTTCATGGTACATGGTAACTTACCAGGCCTCAGGTCTAAGAAAAGCACAGCCATGCATTCCTAGGAGAGGCCTACTCTGAGAATCTGAGGTCACCAGCCACATGAAATGCCATCATCCAGCCCCAGTCAGGCTTTTGAATGAACATGGCCTTCACCAACCTTAACTGCATTTCTGTGAGAGAACTTGAGTCACCCAGGTAAGCCACGTCAGAGTCCTGACCCATGGAAACTGAGAAGTAATAAGGGCTGTGGCACTAAGCCACCAGGTGCTGAATAACTTGTTACAGGGCAGCTGTTAACTAATACAAATACTTACATTGGTCTCCTCACTCAGATTTTTAAGGAAGTTCTGGGTAGTGGCTGTCTTAGAAGTGCCCGATTCACCCACAAAAAGAACAGGGTGCTTGATTTTAACCATCTGCTCTAGTATCCAGGTGGTACGGGTCGTATCCACTGTGTGAACTAAAAGACAGAATAGGAGTGTCACAGGAACTCTGAGCGTTTGGCCACCTAGCACTCACACAGAGTCCCATGCATCCAGTAGGAAGCAGAAAACACTGAGCTCTGGGACTGGAGAGGTGGCTAAGTGGGTAAGAGCTTGCTCTAGAAGCAGAGGACCTGAATTCAAATCCCCAGCACCTACATTAAAAGTTTCATGTGGCTGTGTGTGCCTTTAACAGCAGCATCAGGGAGGTGGAGACAGGCAGAACCCGAGAGCTTGCTGGACAGTCAGGAAAACCAGAACAAGCTCCAGGCTGAGAGAAGGGCCCTGTCTCAAGGCAAGAAAGCACACAGCATATAGGAAGACACCTGACAGCCTGTACCATACACACACACACACACACACACACAAACACACACACACACTGCACACGTATACAGTTTTGGTTTGGTTTTGGTTTGGTTTTTCGAGACACGGTCTCTCTGTGTATCCCCCAACTGTCCTGGAACTTGCTCTGTAGACCAGGCTGGCCTCGAATTTAGAGATTCACCTGCCTCTCTGCCTCCCAAGTGCTGGGATTAAAGATATGCACCAACACCACCTGGCATTTTGTTTTGCTTTGTTTTTAAGCTAAGCTCTGGCTGCAAAGGAGAATATGGATAAAGCCTAGCCTTGGCTTCCCAGCCATTGTATGGCCTTTTAGAGGTGTAACATCTAGCCAATCAAAGTGTATAACTGAGTGTGATGCATTTCTTTGGCACAGTGGTTGTGGCAACTGCACCAACTTCAAGCACCCTGCTCCCTGAACTCCATCTGATTTACATTCAGAATGGAAACCCCACTCACACCTCATGCATCTGTGGGATCGATTTCCTGAAAACCTCTGCTGAAGGCAGCACCACCGCACAGTCAGGTCCAGCCCACCCACTCTCCTGTGGTACGATTCCAGTTCGGGAGGGGAGCCCTTAGAAAATGCACATGTCTTGCTCCAGAAGCACCATGCACCAGACCAGACATGCTTACTGTGGAATCATACAGGATGGAGCAGGGCTATCCCTGTGTTCTCCCTGTGCCCAGCCAGCTCTGTGGCTGGAGCACCCTTGGAGATGTAAGGAAAGTAGAGAACAGGCCATCATGGGCATCGGCTTGCAGGGAAAAGCCCAGGTCACAGCCACACAGAGATGCTCAGAGGCATGGGACAAAATGGGCCCCCAAGGGGCAGATGGTGCCACCCTCTAGTCACTTCCAATGAGTTCCTGGATGGCATTCAGTTGCCAGTGAGGCCATGGTCTTCTTCTCAGGCCTACTCACACCCACTCACACCAGGAAGCTAAGAACAGGGCCAGTGATTACACACCCAAGATGTCGACAAATTTCTTTTCATGGCTGTGAACATATTCAGGAACTAGCTTGCTCCATGGGATCCAGTAGTTCCGCTTGGAATCGAAATGGAAGTCGTACAGGGTGGGAAGATGCCCTGCAGGGGACAAGGGTCCGTGTTGTTCTAGTGACAGACATGGGAACAGGATAGATTTTGATGCAGCTGGAATGAGCTGCCTGCTCACCTCAGAGCTACCCTCAGTTTTGCTTGCTACCCCTTCACAGGATAGGTACTCGGTGTGTACCTTTTTGCAGTTAGCCACCAATCCTTGGAAACACAACCCTGGGGCATAAAGTCATGACCCCACCCTTACAGATGTTGGTGGGCCAGGCAAGGGTAGAGGCAAATAAACAGACCATTTTGATGTAGATGCTGAACTCTGAGACTGGATAAGTACAGGTATGACCTATGACCCATGACCCATAGGGCATCTGGCAAAGACAGGGTGGGTGAGAAAAGAAGAAGCATGGTGGCAAAGATAGCTCTGGGGTTGGAGCCCCACCCACCATCCGCACCCCCGCCCCAGACCATTCCTCACCAGGGTCCCCACTCACATGTGTGCCACCCCCCATCTCTCCACAGACCACTTCTCCAAGCAGAAGGCCATCAGTGGGCTCCACCTGTTTCTATTTAAGGGTGCACATATTCATGCAAAAGCTTAAACCCTTATAAGATACCTTCCTATGACTTACCTGTTGGTCTGTGAGACAGATGGGGGAGCCCAGAGGGAAAAGGGGAACCCAGGATTGTGTCAAGTGTGGAGAGCTCAGCCAGAGCTAGAGTATAAGGGTCCAAGATAGGGTCAGAGGCACAGCCTCCTCCAACAGCGGTGTCTCAGGGGTTGCCCTGCTGGAGTGGGCGATACGCTTGAAGCCCTGAGCGTGGCAGTGGCTACGTCACACAGGCTGGAAACCCACACTGGCAGCAACGGGGAAAAGCAGGTTGACGTCCCCTACAAACCCGCACCAAAGAAGGGGTCATGATTCCTACCTGGCAGTTCTCCAGGACGGGCCCAGACCCCCTCCGTGTCTGCGGTGGGCATTGACGAGAGGTGTTTAACGTACTCGTCAAATCTGATCCGTCCCACCTCAAGCAGGGAGGAGCCGAGGGAGCAATAGAGTGCCTCCAGGAAGAAACACTCTAGCAGGTCCATGTCCTCGATCTCCCCTTCCAGTAGTGAATCCATCATCTTGGTTAACTGGGTCACCTGATCATAGAAAGCCTGTCTCAGTCCATCTTGCTGACCTCCATGATGCTATCCTGCCCTGAGTCCTGGGGTCCCCTGTCCCATAGTGATGGCATCTATACCTGCCATATTGGTTTGACCACATGGAGCCTGGCACCTTCGCTTGCATGAGAGTCACAAGAATGTGCCCTGACATCCACCCATCAGCCATCTCTGCTCCCTTTAAGCTCCTTCCCCAAGGCATGGGTCCATCTCCGGGGTAGCCTTCCTTTGGCTGTCATCGGTAGAGTGTTCTTACCATATTCAGGTCCGTCTGAGGAACCACCATCTTGAGCTTCTCGCCTTGTCTCCCGTCCACTATCCCCTCTATGATCATGTCAATGAGCAAGGGCACATATTTCTCAAAGAGGTCATTTAAATACTTTTGCTCCACCTGTAGAGAAGAGAGCCAATTCCTTTCCAAGGGTCCTTTTAGGTGGAAGGACCTGGAAGCTGAGATGATAGCTATGACAATGACTTCAGCAGGTGTCGAGCCCCAGGGCCAGTGCCTTTCGTGTGTAGACAGGTTTGTCTTTTTGTTGTTGTCGTTTGTTTGTTTTAGGGGGACAGGGCTTCTCTGTGTAGCTTTGTAGACCAGGCTGGCCTTGAATTCACAGAGATCTGCCTGCCTCTGTCTCCTGAGTGCTGGGATTAAAGGTGTGCAACACCACCACCACCACCCGGCTGATAGGTTCACTCTTTATGCTACACTTATTTCCCTTTGCTGCCACAATGCACCCACACCTTCAAGTAACGGGAGGTAACAGGCTCCATCTGACAGAAAAGGAGCTGATGGTCTTCCGAGTTCAAGCATCACAATTGACCATTCAGCATAGAGTTTAAAGTGGTTCACTGGGGGAGGGCAGGCTCAGTGGTCAAGATGGCATACTAAGGCTGTGTGCTCAAGGACACACGCATCCCTTGTCCAACATTCCTGACCGGGCCCGAGCTGTTTAAGAGTAATGCTCACCTTGTTTTGTATTTGTGTTTGTAACCATTTTTTCCAGTATGGTTGGTATTTCAAGTTCTTAGGGTCCACGTAGACCATCCCGCATCGAGATACAGTAGCAGGAGAGGCATACTGCAAGTCTCCCACCTGGAAAGAGTGAACCCTTCAGCTCTGAAACCCTTCTGATCATGGCTGCTAGCACCTGGGCCACACATGCCAGGACCTTCCCTAGGCAAAGATTCACAAGGGCATGAAGCCCATGACGGGCAGTCAGCACAGCTGTGGGGGCTTTAAACTGAACATGGAGGTCACAGTGAGATTGCTATGCCTGATGTGACATCTTCTCATTAAATAACTATGTTGTAGACTCCCCGATAAAAAGTAAGAAGTCAGAAACATGGATGGAAGTTATTCAGATCCCAGAAAAAAAAAGACATTATTATTTTGTTTAATGTGGATGTGGATGTGGATGAGCCTGAGTGTTTGTCTGTGTACTAGGTATGTGCAGGTACCCACAGAGGCCAAAAGAGGGCGTCAGATCTCTTGAAAATGGAGTTACAGACAGCTGTGAGCTCTCAAGTACAAGCTAGGAACCAAACTGATGCTCCCTCTGCCGAAACAGCCAGTGTTCTTCACCACTGAGCTGCTGCTTTGTTTTGTTTTATTTCGTTGTTTTTTGGTTTTGGGGGTTTTTTGTTTTTTGTTTTGTTTTGTTTTGTTTTGTTTGAAACAGGGTTTCTCTGTGTAGCCCTAGCTATCCTAGAACTAGATCTTTTAGACCAGGCTGGCCTCGAACTCATGGAGATCCATCTGTCTCTGCCTCCCAAGTGCTGGGATTAAAGGTGTGCACCACCACCACCCAGCTCTTGTTTCAGTTTTTTAAAGATAGTATTTCATGTAGCCCAGGCTAGCCTGTAACAGCACTGACAAGTGTCTCTCTTTATAAAAGACACGATTCCATCAGCCAACTAGACAATGCTATGCACAAACACAAATGCACTGATGAATTCTGCAGACTGAAGAAAAATATCACTATTAGCCTGGAGCAAGAGCAAGTCCTAGGACACAGCTATGAACAAGCAGTTGGTGTGGTTAGCAGGAAATGGGAGGGGGAGACTTGGGGAACAGTCTCTAGGACAAACAAGAGGGCAGATAGCGGGAGACAAAGGGAAGGTGACTACAAACTCCAGACAAAACAAATGGTTCTAAAAGACAAAGAAGGAATTATAGCATGCTAGCTGGCTCTGCAATAAATAATTCCATATTCAAAACAATGTCAATAGTGTGTGTTGTTAGACAATTCAGAAATGCAGTGCTGTGAGGAGGAGGGGTCTACAACTGAGACAGCAGATGAATCCTCATATCAGAGGACTCAGCCGGTAGATAATATATAAAGTTTTTAACTTTTGTTTGGTTTCTGTGAGATCAGGACTTGCTGTATAGGTATACATGGCCAAGAATTCCTTACGTGGCCCATGCTGGCCTCAAACTCATGGGAATCCTCCTGCCTCTTGTGAAGCCTCCTAATTGCTAGGATTACAAGCATGTTCAACAATAATGTATAAATTAAAAGCTCGTGTTTTTATTTTATTTATAGTTTGTACTTTTATTTCTGTGTGTGTGTGTATGTGTGTGTGTGTGTGTGTGTGTGTCTGTGTGTGTGTGTGTCTGTGTGTGTGTGTGTGTGTGTGTATGTGTGAGTGTGTGTGTGTATGTGTGAGTGTGTGTGTGTGTGTCTGTGTGTCTGTGTGTCTGTGTGTGTGTAGGTATGTACACTATGTGAGTGTATTTATTACCAGGGAGGCCAGAGCTCAAGTGATGGGTGTTTGTGAACTGCCCAGTGTGGATGCTAGGAACCAAACTTGGGTCCTCTGGAACAGCAGCAAGCACACTTAACCACTGAGCCATCTTTCCAATCTACTCATGGATAAATTAAGTAGAAGAATGAGTAACAAGCTAAGCATGTTTTTTATAGATAATAGGATGATTCTCAGAAGAAATAGTTTTAGAAACAAAACAAAACAAAACAGCCAGGAGTAGTGGTGCATACTTTTAATTCCCCCACTTGGGAGGCAGAGGCAGGTGGATCTCTCTGAGTTCAAGGCCAGCCTTGTCTACAAAGTGAGTTCCAGGACAGCTGGAGCTACATAGTGACAGCCTGTCTCAAAAAACAAACAAAAAATGAAAGTAGTTAACTCTAGTTTCGAATAATAAAGAAGGGATGACAGAAGAAGACAGTAAACAAAGGGGTTGGGCTGGTGAGAGGGCTCAGTGAGTAAAGCACTTGCTGCCAAGTCTTGCCAGCTGAGTTCAATCCCTGGTACCTATACCCTGGACAAAAGAACCAGCTCCCACAAGTTGTCCCCTGACCCACACACATACCCAAGTGCACAGACATAGATAAATGTCATGTTAAAAATCAAAACATTCGGGGGAGGGGAGGGAGTGGGGAGAAGGGATTGACATCTGAAGCAAGCTTGTTCCTAATTTGAACTAATAAAATAAAAAAAATCAAAATGTTGAACTCACTGTAAACTTCTGAGTTTTCATTAGTCATCTACCTTAGTAAAGACTTAATGAACTAAAAGCAAGGCTCCTGTTCAAGTTTCCTTCTCAGCACTACTTGCCTCAAAGAGCAGGGCACAGTGTGCCTGGAGCCGAATGCGCTCCCCATTGGCCAAGGTCAACAGCTTGTTGTCGTCCATCACTGAGTTCATGTTTTCCACCCACAAGGCATCGACGTCACCATCAAACAAAATATACCTGCAGTGACCAAGGAGAGGTAAGCCACAAACCCTAGAGCCTGCTGTGTGCCCACTGTCCCTCCTGCTCTATGTCTTTCTCCAGGACTTTCCAGCCAGGACCTTCACAGTGACTCCCTTTGTCCTGATAGTTGACCGAGAGGTGCATGAATACTGAGTAACTCACTAACATTTGAGCATCGGAGACTGTCACACACAATCCAGCTGGCTTCCTTAAGCAAACTGACGTTCCACCCTTGGAATAAGACTGCTAAGCTAGTGAACAGTACACACTACTGATGTTATTTTAATATGGAGGCATTTGCTGCAGAGCCAATTAGGAGTCTACAATTCATTTTCTGTCTCTTAGAGCCATTTGTTTTGTCTGGAGTTTGCAATCACCTTCTTTCTCATCTCATACTATTTACCTTTATCCTCATTTGTTCTTTTAAATGACAGCACCCCTGCATTCCTATATGGGAACCACCTACTAATCCTGTGTGAGTAGTATCACGGGATCAGAAAGTATCACCGTCTACTATCAGATTTTTGCCTTAGCAGTTTATCACTATGTTTTTTTAAAAAAAAAACTTTGTTATTCCTTTCTTTTTTTCCTTTTTTAAAAAATTTTTATTTCATATGTATGAGCATTTGCAGAATATTTGTGCCCCATGTGTATGCAGTGCCTAAAATGGCCACAAGAGGGCAACTGGAACTGGAGTTACAGATGGTTGAGAGTTGCTATGTGGGAGCTGGGCCCTGAACCCTGGTCCTCTGGAAAAGCAGACAGTGACCTTAACCATTAGGCTATCTTTCCAGCCCAATTTATTTATTTTTAGACAGGGTCTCTTGAGGTAGTTCAGGCTGGCTGGAAACTCTCCTGCCTCAGTATCCTGAATGGTAAGTTTACAGATGTGTGCTGCCACATGCTACACTTACCGGGCAGAGGGGGAGATCTTAGCTAAAGATCTCAAGACAAGATGGTTCTAGATTATTGGATGGTTCCCAATTTCATGCCAACTATCTTCATAAGAAAATTGTACATGGGGCAGGCAGATTCTCAAACCACTAGACTCTCTCTCTCTCTCTCTCTCTCTCTCTCTCTCTCCCTCCTCTCTCTCCTCTGACTCCCTCCCTCCCTGTCTTTGATTGCTGCAGATATGATAATCCTTTCCCCTAATACTTCAGCAGTAGTTCCTAAGGATCAGTGCAGTCTCTTCATAACCCCTGGGCTGTTATCAAATTGAGGCCACGCAACGTGTGTCCAATTCCACTGTGTGGCTGACAACCCACACTCTACAGTCATGTCACCTCCCAACAGGGACTTGCCATCTGAATCCGTAGTAGAAAGACTTGACTCAAGCAAGTCACAATAGCTGTTTGGTGGGCATGGGACTGGAGGGAAATGGAGTGTTAGCATCAGCTTGAGGTGTCTCCCTACAGACGGCCAATCCACTCCAAAGGGGGAGATGATGCCTTGTCCAGAAGAGAAGGCACTGTGAGTAGCAGGACATGCAGACACCACACATTTCCAATGCTGAGACGGATCCCCCATCTCTGTGGCATTCCTGTCTGAGACACACAGCCAGAACCAAAAGAGCAGCCCGGGAACTAAAACTGAGGCTCTTCTATAATGCAGCTGGTCTGGAATATTCCAGACCATCAAGGTCACAAGGAAAAGAAATTCTAAGAAACTGCTCGAAATGAAAGGATGCCAAAGAAATTGCTTCTAACCCAGGCTTGTGGCTAATGAGGCAGACACTCACTTCCGTTCCTTCTTGTCGGTCGGCCTGTTGATCTCCCTGAAGATGTTTGACAGCACCCCATCCGTCCAGTCTCGAGTGGCGGGGTCCAGGATGCCATATAGCTCAATGACACTCACAGCTTTGGGGTTCAAGACGTACAACTTCGTCATTAGCCCAAGCCTGAACCAAAAAAAGGCAGCGTCAGCTATGGCTCAGGCCAACGAAGCACGGGAGGGGAGGAAGTGCAGGCAGAAACCCACTCCAAAGCTGATCTGTGTTTCTATTTTGTAAGGAGGGTCAGGGGTTAGGGTCTTATTATGTTGCCCTGGCTATCCTAGAACTGACTAAGTAGACCAGGCTGGCCTCAAATTAATGGTGATCCTCCTGCCTCTGCCTGCTAGATGGCAGCCCTGTACCACCACACCTGGCTCTGTGTGCTGCATACTTTCTAAGTCAAGTGGACGGGGTATGCCCCTCTGTGATCATAGATCCCCACCACACTGCCACCAATCGAAGGAAAACCAAAACTAATGCAACCCGTTGGTCAGGGTATTAAAACAAATGAATGGAAATAGCAAAATGCAATATCACACACATGTGTGTATGTATCTGTGTGATGGTTGTCAGAACTACCGAGCAGTAGACCGAAGAATGAAAGAGAATCACTAAGGCTGAGAGCACCAAGCCTCAGCCTCCCCCTCTTATGGAACAGGGACAAGAAGGAAGTGGCACCACCCAATGCAAGAGTTTTTTATTTTGTGTGTGATTATGTACATGTAACATACGCATGTATGTGTGTGCACACTGGGTGTTTGTCCTGCTCCATCACTCTACCTTATTTCTTTGAGGGAGGGTCTCTCACTGAACCTGCCGCTAGGCTGGCAGCCACAAGCCCCATTGATCCTCCCATCTCCATTCCCACCATAGCACTGGGGGTCCAGGGACACACAGTTGTGCCTGCCTTTTTACATGGGCACTGGAGATTTGAACTCAGGCCTCCCTCATGCTTGTGCATGCTTTAACTATCAGGTAGTCTCCCAGACCCAGCCCTGAAATCTGCTGTGCAATCTAGAAATGCTAGAGCCATGCACATCACATGGCTCTATTTAGAATTTGCCTGGAATATTGGCATTCATCCAAGTCTGTCTAGAATCCAGCTCGTGACAAGGGGAGGAGCAAAAAGTTGGAAAATCCACTCTGGATGTAAGACTGTCATGCCACAGTGAGCCTTTAGGATGTTCCAGGGGCTTTGTTTAATTCTAATAATTATTTCTTTATGGGGGGTGGGTCAGAGGACAGTTTGTGGGAACTAGTTTTCTCCTTCTACCATGTGAGTTCTGGGGTTCAAAATCAGGTTGTCAGGCTTGGCTGCGAGCACACTTACAGGCTCTGAGTTCTCTCACTGGCCCTTCCATGTGATTTAGAGTACATTAAAAGTTGGAGATGCCTCCTCCTTCACACGGTCCTGGTGACAAATTGTAGAGGTGACACTCCACTATTGCCCATGGCAGGTTCTGACTTACAGTACCAATCTGAGCACTGGGATGATGTCACTGAACTGGCACACTGTCTTCCTGTGGAGCTCTCCCTTAGTGGGATGATGTCACTGAACTGGCACACTGTCTTCCTGTGGAGCTCTCCCTCTGTAACAAACAGGCCAACCTGTTTGTTACAAGTTGCAGGAGCACCTATTGTGTGTTCTGAAGTCCCTTAACCTACTCTGTGTTCTGAAGTACGAACCAAACTGGGGTCCTCCACAAGAGCAGCAGATACTCTTAACCACTGAAGCCACCTCTCCAGCCTCATTTTCAGAGTTTTAACCAAGGGTTAAAGATCTTCCCTGAATGTGAGTGGGACCATCTCATGGGCTGGGGTCCCAGATAAAATAAAACTGGGAAAAGGGAGAAAGTTCACTGGGTGTCTGTTGTGGCATATTTGATTGCAGTGTGAAGATGTGTGTCTGTCCTTCCTTGCCTGCCCAAGGCACCTTCGGATTGGTTTAATAAAGAGATGAATGGTTAACAGCTAGGTAGGAGAGGATGGGTGGGACTTCCAAGCAGAGATAGGAACTCTGGGAAGAATCTGAGGTGGTAGATTCGCCAGCAAGGTACAGAGGAAGTTAGACATACAGTACTGAGGAAAGGTAACAAGCCATGTGTCAGAATGTGCATTAATATAAACAGGATAATTTAAGTTTTAAGAGCTAGTTGGGAACAAGCCTAAGCTAAGGCCAAGCCTCCATAATTAATAAAAAGTCTTCACGTCATTATTCAGGAGCTGGAGGACCAAAGAAAGACCCATTACAAGTGCCAGCATTAACAGCTCTCTGCTTTCTGGTCTTCCCAGATATGAGGAGTCTCAACGCTATGCTCCTGCCCGCCTGCCTCCAGAACTCCACAGTGCTTCCCCGCCATGATGGATTGCATCCTCTCAAACCCTGAGCTAAAACCTACCTTGTGTAGGTATTTGGTCATATCTATCAGGAAACAACTCATGATTGGGACAGATACAAGACGAATGATCAAAGCTCTCACCAAACACTTCCCAAGACCTGTCCTGACAAATGTCCCCACCCAAACAAGACACTCACTTTGTCTGGGCCTGACACAGAGCATTGATGACCACGGACTTGCCCCCTCCTGTGGGCCCCACCACCATGGTCGTGTGGCGGGTCAGCATGGTCTCAAACATTTGGACCACTTTATCCACCTGTGGGACAGACAACAGCGGTTTATAAGATGTGACTTGGAGCTGGAGAGCTGGCTGAGACAGTAGAGGTGCTTGCCAAGAGGCTTGATCACCTGAGCATGTGACAGGAGAGAACCAGCTCCTATGTAGCTGAGGCTAGCCCTGGGCTCCTGATCTTCCTGCCTCTGCCTCCTGAGCGCTGGAGGTCTGTGCCACTGTGCCTATCTCTGTTCCTTTTATGGCTAAATACTACTTTGTTTCATAACCAGGCCACATGTACCTACCCATCAGCTAATAGACACTGTTGTTTCCCTGTTTGGGCCACTGTGAATATCCCACCATGGGAGCTCATGAGCGTGTTTCCGAGCAGGCATGTTCTTGCTGCTCTTGGGCCCGTGCAGTGGAATCACCAGGCCCTGGGATGCCTCTGGGTATAACCTGCTGAAGAGCTGACAGACTGCTTGCCAGTGCGGTGTGTTATTTTACATTCCTGACAGGAATGTGTGTGTCTTCATGTGGGGAAGGTGAGTGGGTGTCTTCCTCAATTGCTCTCCTTTTTATTTTTTGAGATGGTGTCTGTCACTGAACTTGTGGCTCACTGATGTGGCTAGACTGGTCAGCACATTTCAAGGACCTACCATGGCTGGTTTACAAATGCATGCCCAGAGCCCAGCTTTTTACAGGGGTCCTAAGCGACTGGACTTCACCAGCCGAGCCATGAGTTCGATGCCGGCCTGTGTTAGATAGTGAGTTCCAGACTAGTGTGAGTTACAAAGCACTCTGCTTACCTGGACCGGCAGAAGTACGTAGCCATTCTCCTCCAGCACCTGCTCTACCGCATCATTGAAATCCGGGTATCGTACACGGGGGCAGTCCAGCCCCGGAAACAGGTCAGAGATGAGGCCCAAGAAGAGGGGGACGTCCTCAAACACAAACTTAGGCAGGTTCATGTCCCGCAGTGCCCGCATCAGGACCACATCCTGGAGGAACCAGAGGATGTGAGGTTGTCAAAGAACCCGCAAGTACCTAGACACCCTCCTGCCCAGCACAGAGTGGAACGTTCTTATAAATTTTAATGTATTTAATCACAATTTTAATATATTTAACGTATGTAATAAGGAAGGGCTGGCAAAATGGCTCAACAGATGACAGGCACCAAGCTCAATGACCTGTGATTAATCCTTGGAGCCTGCATGGTGGGAAGAGACAACTCACTCCCACAGTTGTGCTCTGACCTCCACAAGCACCTGACATAGGCAAGTGCACACACACTAAGTACACAAATGTAGAAAACATATGCCGGGCATTGTGGTGGGTGGCTTTAGTTCCAGCACTCAGGAGGCAGAAGCAGGTGGATCTATGTGAGTTTGAGGACAGCCTGATCTACAGAGCAAGTCAGGGCTACACAAAGAAACCCTGTCTCAACATCCCCCCACCAAAATACATAAAACAAAACATATAGTATGTTATATATTTATACATTACATGTTATAGATTTATATATTTTAAAGAAAATTGGGGGGCTGTAATAGGGCTTGAACCTAGGCAAATGCCTACTACCAAGTTGCATCCCCAGTTAAAATTTTAAAAAATTTAAAATTCTGACATGTCATTGCTGGTGGAAAATTGTGCAAGAATGTCATCCTCAAAATGCCAGTGATGGGTCTGGCAGCGCAGTAAGTGTCACATCGAATAATGTGACTATTTCTCTCACTTTCACTGCAAAGAGGAAATAAGTGTGTGTGTGGGCGGGGGGTCTGATCAGAGCCTGTGTGTGCACCTGTGAGATATCCACCTGTATACCTGGGGGATATCTCACTGAATCCCATTACAATGTGGGTGGAGCCGTGGCTCAGTGGTTAAGAGCACTGACTATTCTTCCAGAGGACCCAGGTTCAATTCCCAGCACCCACATGGCGGCTCACAACCGTCTGTAACCCCAGAGCCTCCAAGAGGGCTAGGCATGCATGTGGTACACAGACATACATGCAGAAACAACACCCATACACATAAGATAAATAAATTAAAAATTTAAGAATATGCAATCAACAGTCACTAACTGAAAACACCCATACACATAAGATAAATAAATTAAAAATTTAAGAATATGCAATTAACAGTCACAAAATGAGAAGGAACTCATATCCCTACTTCATCAGAAGGTTACCTGTGCCCCTCTGCCTCTCCACCACCCTAAGATGACAGACTGACAGTTGCTACTGAAGCACCTAAATACTGGTGCTGCTGCAGGGCCCTGAACTTGATCTTTTTCTTAACATTTTTAAATTCATTTTACATACGAACCACAGTTCCCCCTCTGTCCCCTCCTCCCGCTCCCCCCTTCTCCCTAAAGCCCGGCACATTAAGTTGAAGCAGGACCAAGCCCCCCACCCCACTCCCCTACCCCTGCATCAAGGCTGAGCAAGGCATCCCACCATAGGGAATAGGCTCCAAAAAGCTAACTCATGCACCAGGGCTAGATTCTGGTCCTACTGCCAGGGGTCCCTCACATAGATCAAGCTACACAACTGTCGCCCACATGAAGAGGGCCTAGTTTGGTCCCATGCAGACTCCCCAGCTGTCTGTCTAGAGTCTATTAATTCCCATGAGCTTGGGTCAGCTGTCTCTGTGGGTTTCCCTGTCATGATCTTGACCCCCCCACACACACACACACACTCATATAATCCTTCCTCCCTCTCTTTGGCTGGACTCCTGGAGCTGGGCCTGGTGCTTGGCCGTGGATCTCTGCATCTGTTTCCATCAGTTACTGGATGAAGTTGAACTTGATCTTAAGGTGACAAGTCTGCTAAGACAACATCATTGGGAGGAGACCAAAGCAAAGCCAGACAGAGGGACAGCCAAGACCTAAGCTTCTGAATGTCCCGTGTCCTCCACCCTGCCTTCTGCACATGTGTGGCAACTGCACAGAGTCACACATAACCACAGACCCTGAGCAGCCTACCTCCTGCAGCTCTGCAGAGCCTCGCTTCAGCTCGCCAGCCATGACCAGCACCGACTTCAGGGCCCGGAGCCCAAAGTCGTAATGGTGCTGCTTGGAGAGCTGTTCCCGGGCCAGCTTGTACAGAACTGTCATCTTCTTGGCCAGCGTCTTTTTGACAGAAGATAGTGAGCAAACAAAAAGCATGAGAGAATAGAGTGGCAGAAAGCAACAGAGTGTCACCACAAATGCAAAGGGACATGGGTGTCTCAGGGACAACAAGCTACAGATCTGCGGATCTGGCCTTCAGCATTCAAAAACCACCAGGGCATAGCTCTTTTTCAAATTATGGCACCTGGGGGGACTTATTTAAAGAATACCCAGGGCAGAGTGACACATGGGAGGTGTGTTCAGGCAGGGGGATCAGGAATTTCAAGTTCATCCTGGGCTACATGAGAGGTTGAGGCTAGCCTGGACTACATGAGACCCTGTCTGAATCACACAGACAGTTGTTGTACAAAGCTGGGATTATAATCACCTTCGTTGATGACAGATCCCAGCAAGCAGTCACAGCTCACTCACACAGACGCTCTCAGATTACCGGGACCTCTGCCTATCATTCGGATGCCCCCTGCCCAGCTGCTGTTCCTTTTCTTGGTTTGTTTGATACTTGGGGATGAACCCAAGACCACTGAGCTATGTCCCTAGCCCTTTACTTCATTTTATTTTGAGATGGAGTTTGGCTTTGAATTTATACTATTCCCACCTCAGTCTCCTAAGAAGCACGGACTAGAGCTCAATATGAGCCACTGTGCCCGGTCTGTTCCCCTTTCTGACAGCAATTTGAACTCGCAGGCCATGTCAATCAAGCCTACTGGTCCCTGAAACTTGCTTGGAAATTTGCGTGAAAACAGACACAAAATCTCAACCTGAAAACCCAGAGTCCTGGCAGCTTGGGGTGGGGTAGCGAGGGTGCAATGAGGGCCTTGAAAAACATCCAGTGCTGGGCCAGAGAGATAGCTCAGTGGCTAAAAGCACATATTGCTGTTGTAGAGGGCTCAAGTTTTGTTCCCAGCACTCATGTTGGATGACTCATGACCACCTGAAACTCCAATGCCAGGGAACCAGATGCCCTCTTCTGACCCATGTGGGAACTGCACCCATATGCACATAACACAAACTCTAATTGAAAAATAAAATCTTTTTTTTTTCCAAAGAACATGCATTGCAGGAAGTGGTTGGGTGTGGCTCAGTGTTGGAGAACATGCCTCAGTTGCATGAGGTACTGGGTTCTGTCTTCAGCATCATACAAAAAAATAAAAGAAATGTGTGTGTGTGTGTGTGTGTGTGTGTGTGTGTGTGTGTATGTTACATGCAAGTACATGGGTGAATGTACCCATGGGTGCACATGCATAAAGAGGCCAAAGGGAGAATTAGGTGCCTCCCTTTCTCGTTTGTCACCGTATTGCTTTGACACAGGACCTCTCACTGAACCAGAAGCTCACTGTCTTGACTAAGCTGGCTGACCAGCTCTTGTGATACACGTGTCTCCGCTTCCAATGCTGGGGTTACAGGCATATGCAACCATGCCCAGCTGTTTACATGGGTTCTGGGGATTCAAAGTCAGGTCTTCATGACAGCAGAGCAAGTCCTGTCGCCCAGTGATCCACCTCCTTAGTCTGTACCTTATATTTTAAGAGAACCCGGAGTTGGATGGCAAAGCTGGCTGGCCAGCGAGCTCCAGAGATATGCCAGGTTCCACCTCTCTGGCACAACAATTGCAGTTGTGCACCACCACACCTGGCTTTTATGTGGGTCTGAGGACCCACATATGTGGGTCAGGTTCTCATGCTCGTGAGGCTCCCTAGCCCCCTGGTGTGGCTTTTAAAGGCTGATCAATTGCAGTTGTGCACCACCACACCTGGCTTTTATGTGGGTCTGAGGACTCAAACTCAGGTTCTCATGCTCGTGAGGCTCCCTAGCCCCCTAGTGTGGCTTTTAAAGGCTGACGAGAGAGAGTTTCTTGGTGTAAAAGGTTCGGCTCGTACTCTGACTATGGTGACAGTCACTCCATCTCTATACATAATGAGAGAAAGATCATGAAACCTGGTGATGTCTGAACACGACATAAACCTGGGCAGCTCACAGGCTGTGACAAAGACCTGCATCTGTATACATAAGATGTCACTCCTGAGGAGGGACACTGTGACTGCTGCCCCAGCTTCTCAAGTATTAGCACACAGCCAAATTAACTCACAGCTTCAGAGAGGGTGGGCGTAGGAGCAGAGACAGGGCAGACTCATTCCAAAGCATAGCCTGCAGCTCGCCACCACTGGCGCGGCTTACCTTGGCCCCCAGGAAGCCCTCGGAGAAGAACATAATCTCACAGATCTGCTGCAGGTCGGGCACAATGACGACCACAGGCCTGAACAGCGCCTTCACGGACTCAGGCAGCTCCGTGCGGCCCGCATAGCCTGGGTTCATGGTGATGAAGATGCCCATCCGAGAGTCAAGGGAGATCTCCTGCCCTTCAAACTGGATGACAGCAGAAGAAAGAGGGGGTGATGTAGCTGCCAGTTCACCCAGGGAGAGGAAGCTGTGGCCACAGGGGCATCCCCAAGGGAGATGGTGATGTGGACAAGATGGGCTCTCTAGATTGGCGCAGAATCCAAGACATCTCTGGGAAGCCAGGTGTGGTGTCCAGTCAGGTGTGGTCAAGTATGGTGCCTGGTGAGGTGTGGTGAGGTGTGATGCCTAGTCAGGTATGGTGTCTAGTGAGGTGTGGTGCCTGGTGAGGTGTAGTCAAATATGATATCTGTCCAGGTTTAATGTCTATCTGGGTATAGTATTTGGTGAGGTGTGAAGTCTGGTGAAATGTCGTGTCTGGCCAGGTTTGCTCCGGTTTGGTGTCTGGCCAAGTGTGGTAGGTAATCCTCATTGTCAAGTTCAGTGGCTTTAGAATCACTTAGGTATGTACCTCTGGGTGCTTTTGTGAGAATTCAGATGGAGGGAGACCTACCCTGAATGTGAGGGGTACCATCCATGAGATAAGGTGTCTATATAAAGCTAGAGGGGGCGGGGAGAGAAAGCTGGGTAACACAGGCATGTCCTTCTCTCTGCTTTGGGGCCACCGTGCCCTCATCTCCTCACTACAATGGACCAAACCTGCTGAAACCACGACCAAAACCTGCTGAGCATCTGGCCACAGCGGCACAAGAGTAACAAAACAGATCTGAAAACGGCCCCCACCCAAGCTGCCACAGGCTTTGCAGCCATCCCAGAACAGGATGCAGGTGCCTCCCCGCCCCCGCTCACCTGAAACGTGGTCAGCTGGTGGATTAGCGCATTGCGAATCGTCTGGATCTGCGATGAGATGACAGACAACACAGAGGCATCTATCCGGTTGAACTCATCAAAACAGCCCCACGCGCCACACTGGGCGAGGCCAGAGAAGATCTTCCCGACAGCCTAAGGATTCCATCAGAACCATCAGGGCCTGTTCCTCCTGGAAATGAGAGGCTTGCACCTTCTAAATTAAACAGTTTGTTGAGCAGCTAGACGGAGTGCTGGCCAGGTACAGCACTCACAGAATTTTCTGGCAATATTCCAAGGCCCTTGGTAGGCCAGCTCCCACTCAGGGCTAGACAATCAAGACTTTGTATTTGTGTAAACTCCATATTGCCAGCTGCTAAGATGCTGGGAGATCTAGTCACAGTGAGTCCACGGACCCAAGTGTCCGTACTGAACCAAAACTGAACAGTGGAGCCCTCTAAGAACTCAGAGTAGAGTACTGGAGTTAGCTGCTATCCTCACCCCTCTCTGTTGCCCCTTATTTATTCATGTTATCTCCCTGAGCCCAGCAGCCTATACCTTCAGGACTCTTGCCCTGTGGCTGAGTGAAAGGTTTACTATAACACCCTCCCAGTTATCACTTGTCATTTCAGAAAACAGGCGACACACTTTCCAACCATGTCCACACTAAAAGCTGTCTGCAGAGGAATCAGGTACTGGAAGTGATGGTGAGGCCTTACTTTGTAATCCATGCCTTCGCCACAGTTGGTGACAACACACAGCAGGCCCAGGGCTTTGGCAAGGTCCTTGGTGGTCTCTGTCTTGCCGGTTCCCGCTGGACCAGCAGGGGCACCTCCCAGATACATGGACAGCGCCTGTGAGCAGCCAAATGCAAAATATACGTGTTTTGGTTTGGAGAAAGGGTATCACTCCCAGGTTCATCTCTGAGACATGTGCACAGACACTATGATACTCAACTCCATGTGTCAGCCTGACTGCAGGGAGCTGTCCATGTTGCTGGCTAAATATTGTTTCTGGGTGGGTCTGTGAGAGTGTCTCAGAGCCTGACACTTTTTGGTGAGCCAGTTAGGCAGGTGGTCATCCAAGGGCAGGTAGGCAATGTCACCTAGCCCTGCCCTACAAGAGCTGGATGGGACTTAAGGAAGATACTGTCTTTGCTTTGACTGTGATGGTAGCTTTGAACTCTGACATTCCCCAGGGCTTCAGACCCAAATGAGAGTGGGTAGCTCAGGTCCTTAGTCCTGTCTGTCCTTTTGGCCAATGGTCAGCTAGGACACTAACTTGCCTCTGTGATGGCTGTCACAAAATGCTTAGCGGGGCTGGAGAGATGGCTCAGAGGTTAAGTGCACTGACAAAATGCTTAGCTTTGTGGTCTCCCATTGAGCCTGTCCCTTTGGACATTGATGTTTTGAAACAGGGTTTCATGTAGCCCAGGCTGGCCTAAAACTTGCTATGTAGTTGGGGATGGCCTTGAACTCCTGATCTTCCTGCCTCCACCTCCAAGCACTGGAAGTATAAGCATGCCCATTATGTAAGGCTTAAGTTCACCCTTAATTTTAGGAAAACAAAGGGCTTCTTGGCTCACATTTCAGTGGGTGTTATGGGCTTTAGGCTTCCATTCTCTTGTGTACCCCCAGGTACAGCAAGGTGGTGTAGAGACCGGTACAGGAGTGAGCTGCACATGGCATGGCACAGATTTGAGTCTCAGCTGTGAGCTAAGGGACCCATCACACTTGGGCACTTCATGCAGACTTTGGTACAGCTCCATGGCTGAGCACTTGCTTAATGTGTACAAGGCCCTAGGTTCTATTCCCAGTGCTACAAACAAAAGAATCTGCCTTATGATGGACAGATAACATGCTGGCACCATCCTGTCAGGAGACATGGTCTCCTCCTTCATTCACCTTCTTACAGTTTAGTCTTATACATTTCCACAATTTTCTGTTATCCTCTGCCTCCACCTCCGCTGCATAGGTCTAAGCTACAGGGTAGAACCAGCATCCCAAGGAAGCCACTCACAGGCTTTTCAATCCCAATAGTGACAGACTCCAAATGGAAGATTCTTCCTAGAGCTCAGAGCCAAGACTCCATATGGGTCAAGCAACAAGCTATGTCTGGGGGCAAACATGTCACCTGTGTGAGTGTCAGGTAGATGCGGTCTGTAAGGGGTGTGATGACCAGCCTCCCGTTCAGGCCCATGTACTCATAGCCGTAGCCAAAAGTCCCCGTGCACTGGCGGATGTTGAGCTCGTCTGGCTCCCGGTCCCAGTAAAAGCGAAGCTGGCTTTCCCATTCAAACTCCCGGGCCTCAAGGATGCTGGGTGGGGAGGGGAAGAAAAGGAAGGGGGCATAGCTGGGCAGACCACAGAAGGACACAACAGTAAAGCGTCCCAGAATCCCGGGGAAAGTAACCACCTGCCCCGGATGAAGGAATCCACAATGTCCCGGGCATGGACATCAATGATAAGGACTGTGTTGTATTTCTTCCTGTCATTTTTGCTCAGCTCCAGGGTGATCCGTGTGACCAGGTCGTCAATCTGTTTGTGCATCTTCTTGCCGTAGTTCTTCATAGCCTGCTTGTCCCCTTGCTTGACTTTATTGAAGACATCCTCCACTTCCCAAGTCCACCATACCTGGCTGGCAGCCAGCACCACCATGCCTTGGTACAGCAACATCCAGTCCACCCTACAGGGGAAGCATGCCCGTCAAAGGCTTGACAGAGACTGGGTCCAGCTAGAGGCTGGTTGGAAGTCAGCTGCACTTCCAGGAGCTTATGTGTCTGACCTGGAAAAGGAGGCGTAAAGGCCAGGAAAGCTCCAGGGCTGGACATGAAATACCCAGGACAGTGGTCCCCTCCCTCAACCCATCACAGGACCAAGGGCATGGCTTGGCAGTAGAGTCTTGGCTGAGAATCTACCATCAAAGGTGTAGAGATGTAGCTACTCAGTAATGCACCAGCCTACAGGGATCCTGTTTGACTCACAGCATGACAGAAGTCTGCAAAGTGTCCTAGCTGTGCCGCTCCTGACCACTAAGTACCATTCTCACAGTGAAGTCTACTTAGAAGCCCAAAGGGCTGGGGATAGCACAGCTCCTGATACAGGTCCCCAGTGTCTGGTGCCCAGGTATGGAGTGGGCACTAAGAATTTGTATTCAGTCATTCATTCCTGCAGTGCTAGGTATACAAAGCAAGCATTCTGCTACTGGGAAGTTCTAAGCAGAGGTTCTCCCATTGAGCCACACCCCCAGCCTCTCACTGGGGGATTCTAGGCAGGAGCTCTACCACTGAGCCTCACCCCAGACCTTCGCTGAGGGATTCTAGGCAGGTGCTCTACTGTAGAGTCATGCTTCCAGCTCAAGTTGAATTTGTAGCAAACTCCCACAAGCTGCCAACCTGGTGCCTTGCTCATTTAGGAAGTACTATCTAGAACCATCATTTGAAACAGCTATAATCAGCTGGGTTGCCATGGCAAGGAAAAACTCATTGCAATGTCAGCACACCTGCCTTACACTCTTAAATCACCCCTGCGCCGGGTGGCAGGATGGGGCCACTTGCCCTCGCACACCCTCACATGTCCACGTCACCTGCTTCTGTCCTCACAGTATCTGAAGATGGCTTCCTTGGTGATGAGTCTGTTGGTCCTTCTCATTTCGATCAACACAGCCGTCATCCAGTCTTCTACACGCCCCTCAGCCCGGATGATCTTGCGAAACGTCATGACTTCTCCCTCTGCCGAGATCATGGCCGACACTAACTTCTCCCCGCTGTCTCCATCATGGAAGCGCAGCATGGCTATGTTGTCATACATCTGCAAGACAGCAGGATGGGATGCTGGTAGGACAGCCACCACCATTGCAGACATGACACTCTAAGGGTTGCCCTAGACAGATGTCCATGCACCCAGTGTTGTGTTTATTAGTCAGGATGACAACTACTTCCTCAGTATTGTGTAAACCAAAGATGGGTTTTCAGACAGAAGGAAAAAGACCTCTGAGGCATCATGGATATCTAGTGTAAACATGGGGACAAAGCAGTCCAGATGCACAGGCGAGTGAGACCTGAGGTGTGACCAGGTCACTCAGGGCCATTTGTCCTGCTCCTCGAAGCCTGAAGGAAACATCTTAAAAAGTGAAGCCGGGAGGGTGCCCCAGCTGACAGGAGCCACATGTCACTGTTGCAAACACTGCTGGTGACATCTGTGGCTGTAACTGAGCAAAAGAAGATTCTAGAACCTGAGTCCTTTAGGGCCCCCATGAAATAGCATGGATGATGTGTGTGGACCAGGAAGGGAGGAGGTGAGCAGTGGCCAGCTGTAAAGAGGAAACAGGGAGAGCCCTCAAGAGAAGAGGACAGGAAGTAGGAGCAGGGGCAGCTCTGGCATCCGCTCTCCACAGCGGCAATGGCCTGCTTGGAAATGAGGAATCAGACAGGCACGGGTGCAGCCGGGAGGCTGAGGCAGGAAGATGGCCAATACAGGCCAGCCTGGGCTACATACCTCTGAAAAAAAAGGAAGGGAAGAACAAAGGGGTGGAGGGGAAAGGAAAGGAGAGAGCCTACCTCTTGAGAAGGGAAATGTTACTTTTTTATATATAATGTATCCTTATTTTATGATTTTATGTGCATTGGTGTTTTGCCTGTGTGTATGTCTGTATAAGGGTGTCAGATCCCCTGGAACTGGAGCCACAGATAGGTGTGAGCTGCCATGTGAGTGCTGGGAATTGAACCTGGGTCATCTGAAGAGCAGTCAGTGCTCTCAACCGCTGAGCCATCTCTCCAGTTCCAAGAAGGGAAACATTCCGAGAGCCACAGAGAGAGAGAGAGAGAGAGAGAGAGAGAGAGAGAGAGAGAGAGAGAGAGAGAGAGAGTGAGATTTTTAAAAACTGGGAATCAAATCCAAGACCTTACAAAGGATAG